TGCTTGCTGACTTACACGGGGTCTGTTTTGTCTTTGTGTGTTGACTTACACAGGGTCTGTTTTGCCTTTGTGTGCTGAACATGACACTATAACATAGGTTTACATGTTAAGATGTGTACGTGACACTATTACATAGGCTTGTATGTTAACATGTGTAAGTGACACTTTAACAAAGGTTTGTATGTTAAAATGTGTACGTGACACTATAACAGCGGTTTGTATGTTAACATGGGTACGTGACACTATAACATAGGTTTACATGTTAACATGTGTAAGTGACACTTTAACAAAGGTTTGTATGTTAACATGTGTACGTGACACTATAACATCGGTTTGTATGTTAACATGTGTACGTGACACTTTAACAAAGGTTTGTATGTTAACATGTGTACGTGACACTATAACATAGGTTTATATGTTAACATGTGAACTTTGTAACTATTATATAGTGTGTACGTGACACTATTATATAGGTTTATACTATAACATCGGTTTGTATGTGAACATGTGTACGTGACACTACAACATAGGTTTATGTGTTAACATGTGGGGTCTATTTCACCTTTGTGTGTTGACATCCACGGGGTCTATGCTGCCTTTGTGTGTTGACATACACGGGGTGTATGTTGCCTTTGTGTGGTGACATACACGGGGTCTGTTTTGTCTTTGTGTGTTGACTTACACGGGGTCTGTTTTGTCTTTGTGTGTTGACATACACGGGGTCTGTTTTGCCTTTGTGTGTTGACATACATAGGGTATATGTTGCCGTTGTGTTGACACACATGTGGTCTATGTTGCCTTTGTGTGTTGACATACACGGGGTCTGTTTTGTCTTTGTGTGTTGACTTACACAGGGTCTGTTTTCCCTTTGTGTGTTGACTTACACAGAGTCTATTTTGTCTGTGTTTGCTGACTTACACGGGGTCTGTTTTGTCTTTGTGTGTTGACTTAGACAGGGTCTGTTTTGCCTTTGTGTGTTGACATACATAGGGTATATGTTGTCGTTGTGTTGACACACATGTGGTCTATGTTGCCTTTGTGTGTTGACATCCACGGGGTCTATGCTGCCTTTGTGTGTTGACATACACGGGGTCTGTTTTGCCTTTGTGTGTTGACCTACACAGGGTCTATTTCGCCTTTGTGTGTTGACTTACACAGGGTCTGTTTTGCCTTTGTGTGTTGACTTAAACAGGGTCTTTTTTGCCTTTGTGTGTTGACTTTCACAGGGTCTGTTTTGCCTTTGTGTGCTGACTTACACAGGGTTTGTTTTGCCTTTGTGTGCTGGCTTACACAGTGGTCCATATTGTCTTTTTGGGCTGACAGACACTGTGGAAGATTTTGTCTTTGTGTGTTGACATACACTTTAGTGTTTTTTGCCTTTGTTTCATCACTGACACTGTGCTTTATTTTGCCTTTTTGTTTTGACAAATAATGTTGTCTATTTCTTTGCTGACAGAGACTACAGTCTTTTTTCCCTTCGTGCGTGAACATGACACTATAACATAGGTTTGTATGTTAACATGTGTACGTGACACTATAACATAGGTTTGTATGTTAACATGTGTACGTGACACTATAACATAGGTTTGTATGTTAACATGTGTACGTGACACTATAACATAGGTTTGTATGTTAACATGTGTACGTGACACTATAACATAGGTTTATATGTTAACATGTGTACGTGACACTATAACATAGGTTTATATGTTAACATGTGTACGTGACACTATAACATAGGTTTATATGTTAACATGTGTACGTGACACTATAACATAGGTTTATATGTTAACATGTGTACGTGACACTATAACATAGGTTTATATGTTAACATGTGTACGTGACACTATAACATAGGTTTATATGTTAACATGTGTACGTGACACTATAACATAGGTTTATATGTTAACATGTGTACGTGACACTATAACATAGGTTTATATGTTAACATGTGTACGTGACACTATAACATAGGTTTATATGTTAACATGTGTACGTGACACTATAACATAGGTTTATATGTTAACATGTGTACGTGACACTATAACATAGGTTTATATGTTAACATGTGTACGTGACACTATAACATAGGTTTATATGTTAACATGTGTACGTGACACTATAACATAGGTTTATATGTTAAGATGTGTACGCGACACTATTACTTAGGTTTTTATGTTAACATGTGTACGTGACTCTATAACATAGGTTTATATGTTAACATATGTACCTGACACTATTACTTAGGTTTATATGTTAACATGTGTACGTGACACTATAACATAGGTTTACATGTTAAGATGTGTACGTGACACTATAACATAGGTTTGTTTGTTAACATGTGTACGTGACACTATAACATAGGTTTATATGTTAAGATGTGTACGTGACACTATTAATTAGGTTTGTATGTTAACATGTGTACGTGACTCTATAACATAGGTTTATATGTTAACATGTGTACGTGGCACTATAACATAGGTTTGTATGTTAACATGTGTACGTGACACTATAACATAGGTTTGTTTGTTAAGATGTGTACGTGACACTATAACATAGGTTTACATGTTAAGATGTGTACGTGACACTATAACATAGGTTTGTTTGTTAACATGTGTACGTAACACTATAACATAGGTTTATATGTTAAGATTTGTACGTGACACTATTAATTAGGTTTGTATGTTAACATGTGTACGTGACAATATTATATAGGTTTATATGTTAACATGTGTACGTGGCACTATAACATAGGTTTGTAAGTTAACATGTGTACGTGACACTATAACATAGGTTTAAAAGGTTACATGTGTATGTGACACTATAACATAGGTTTATATGTTAACATTTGTACGTGACACTATAACATAGGTTTATATGTTAACATGTGTACGTGGCACTATAACATAGGTTTGTAAGTTAACATGTGTACGTGACACTATAACATCGGTTTATATGTTACACATGTGAACTTTGTCCCTCTTATATAGGTTTATATGTTACACGTGTGAACTTTGTCACTATTATATAGGTTTATATGTTACACATGTGTACGTGGCACTATAACATAGGTTTGTAAGTTAACATGTGTACGTGACACTATAACATCGGTTTATATGTTACACATGTGAACTTTGTCGCTATTATATAGGTTTATAGGTTACGCATGGGAACTTTGTCACTATTATATAGGTTTATAGGTTATGCATGTGAACTTTGTCACTATTATATAGGTGTATATGTTACACGTGTGAACTTTGTCCCTATTATATTGGTTTATATGTTACACATGTGAACTTTGTCGCTATTATATAGGTTTATAGGTTACGCATGGGAACTTTGTCACTATTATATAGGTTTATAGGTTACGCATGTGAACTTTGTCCCTATTATATAGGTTTATATGTTACACATGAGAACTTTGTCCCTATTATATAGGTTTATATGTTACACATGTGAACTTTGTAACTATTATATAGGTTTATATGTTACACATTTGAACTTTGTCCCTATTATATAGATTCCCATATTATTGCAAATCCTGTTACACTGAAATTATGCAAATCCATCAAATAAAAAGATTGAACAATTGATTTAATGTAGTTCATGACTGTGCATGCACGGTCTCTAATATCATAGATACATTATGATTTCTACATGTATTTTAATAAGATAAATACCATTATTTGTTAAAGTGATGTTTGTGGTAGGTTATGAGATTTAGGTTGGTCTTTTATTTATATAAATTATTCATGTATAATTTTGAAGTGCTCATATTTCTAATAAATATTGATTGTAAACACTGGCTTAGTTTTTAACAGCACTTCACTTTTTATATGGTTATGTAAGCATGACTTTTTCAAATTGTATGATGAATACTCAATAACATTGCACAACAAACACAGATTTCTGTACAGTAAGTAAACATGACATATTGCACTTGATTATATATGCCACTCAAAATAGCATACCCATTATTTGGCCTGCGTGACTTTTTCTGAATATTGATATTTGTATTGTCATTAAGGTACAAGCACAGTGTAGAAATGATTTAATATAATAAAATAAACACTAGAAATAAACAGAAGGAAGTACCTTGTAAAGATAATCATACGTTAATGCTGAAAATACAGAGAGTTAACTTGTTTATGACACTGCGCGGTCATTTCGTCTATTTCGGTCTCTTCAGTGGTTGTACGGGAACAAATGCAGAAGATAGGGGAAACAGATACTTCTAAAAATCTATAAAACGTTACAACTTCTTTAACAACAAATAATTTATACCTAACATATCCTGATTTATATAATGTATGATGGTTCATTGTGAAAATGAAACTCTTGTTATAACACCTTATACATCATACGAAACACACCACACAAGGTTAATTCGTGACGTCATAAGTAAACCATGTAATACCTCACGAGAGTTTTTGCTTTTATACTCAAATGAAGTGCATTTCTGCTAGTGATGTTCATAAAGTGGTTTGCAGCGCAAATGTAAATGCACCTCTTTATCCTTTTGATTTTATTGATATGCTCGTAATATTGTGACGTAACATTACAGACAATTGAATGACGGCACATATGACGCCATTGGTAGGACAAAAATGATGTAATAGCTGATAATTCTATACACGTAGCGATGCTTACGACTATGTGAAATATAGAGATAAATTACAATTGACGATAAAAAAAGATATTATGCAGTGTATGATATATCCATTTGTAAAATACATTATTCTACTCTGTAACATAACCTATCAATAAACTGGACCCTGATAGAGTGATATCTGGCTTTTAATTGACATATTTTCCTCATATGCTTAAGGCCTACCTTCATATATCGGAAAAAAATTATTTTCGTCCCACGGAGTCAATATGATCGCGGTTCTCTAACTCGCTGAGTCGGTCAGACAGGAAATTGAAGCATTGATGCAAAGTTCTGCACAGATCAATACCTTTTAATATCAAGTGTCGTTTTGCTCTCTCTTTCATTGCAGGAAAATGAGTCAAGTTGTGGAACATCTTGTGCATACAAAGCGACTGAATGATGAGGCGAATCGCCAAAGGGGGCAGGAAGAGGATAAGAAGGACCTCCCACCTGTGTTCAACAAACGCTTGTTTGCAACCCAAGGCAACGTTATCATTACAAGAGAGGCACAAAGGGTGATGATTCGTAACGCGAAGGCTGTCGAGGAGGGCGTAGACCGGAAGTTGACAAAGTCAGAACTGCTCTCAATGAGGACAGTGGTGGACGGTCTGAAACTTATACACAAAGGTCAGGATTACATCAAAGACGCCCTAAGTCACGTGGTGACTAGGGAAGACTACAAAGAATTTGAATATGTGGTTAAGAAACCATGGGAGGATAGGTTATCGTGCTATTATATTGTGCATGGTGCCGTTGAGGTCACGTACGATATGAGCTCAACAGAATCCAGAAACGTTTATCAACCTAACATTATCTACAGTCATGGCACGGGGGAATATCTGGGTATGGCTAATGCTGAGAGCAGGGATGAAGATATATCGCCACCGGCTACTGTCTTCACTAAAGAGAGGTCAGAAGTTCTTAGAATAGACCGTGAACGGTTTCACACCATCGTAGAAAAAACGACAGATGTGCTTAACAATGAAATTAGGACATATTTCAATTATGGTGAAAGTGTATTCAAGGAGATGCCCAACAGTTCCAAAGAGAAGATATTTCCACTCATAGAAAAACAGGTAAGACGTACCTTGATTCTCCAACCATACACATCTGTCGGTGCTTTATTTTGTAATTAATTCAACAAATAAAGAAAAATCATTCACGCTAAACAGGAAATATGTTAGTTCAAACACTATGTAGCCACATGCGGGCACACATTTGAGACCATGTTTATTTCGTCAGTGCGCAGGTCGTGATCTTAACGTGCACTTTTACCGCAGCAAACGTTGCAGTCATATTTATTAGCGACGCCCTCCTTAATGTATGCGCCGTCGCGTATTCTCTGCAAATGTTTTTCTGTTTTAAATACTTGAGCCGTGTGTACGTGTTAAGATAAAAAGGGTACTCTAATTCAGGATGGGCAATGGTGTTCTATAACTGCTATTTGATCACTTTGGAATATATTAACTATATGATAACTAGCAAACGCTCGTTGGAAAATCTTTACATTTAATGACGATGCATTAGTTCAGCATTTAATGCACACTAACGAATGCCTTTTTTCTTCTTCTTTTTTTATGAGTCAAGTTAAAGGGATTTAAGGTAGTTTACGATAGGAAGAGAATTTCAGAAGAGGCATTGTAATACAAGTGAATTGTTTGAAATCTCTTGATTTGGTTGAAATCTCCGCACGGAAAGACTTGTAACACTAGTCAATCAATAAATCAATCAATCAATTCTTGTAACACTAGTGATGTGGTTGAAATATTTACCGGTAAAGATATAGTAACACTAGTGATTCGGTTGATACCTCTAAGTAGAGATATTGTAACACTAGTGATTTGGTTGATACCTCTAAGTAGATATATTGTAACACTAGTAATTCGGTTGATACCTCAAAGTAGAGATATTGTAACACTAGTGAATTGGTTGATACCTCTAAGTAGATATATTGTAACACTAGTGATTTGGTTGATACCTCTAAGTAGAGATATTGTAACACTACTTATTCGGTTGATACCTCTAAGTAGAGATATTGTAACACTAGTGATTTGGTTGATACCTCTAAGTAGAGATAATGTAACACTAGTGATTTGGTTGATACCTCTAAGTAGAGATATTGTAAGACTAGTAATTTCGTTGAAACCTCTACCAGTAGAGGTATTGTAACAATAGTGATTTGGTTGATACCTCTAAGTAGAGATATCGTAACACTAGTGATTTGGTTGATACCTCTAAGTGGAGATATTGTAACACTAGTAATTTGGTTGATACCTCTACCAGTAGAGATATTGTAACACTAGTGATTTGGTTAAAATCTCTACCAGAAGAGACGTTGTATTTGTATTTTGTATTGTGTTACGGTCCATCGACAATACGGGTCATTTAGGGCCAAACAACAATTTAAAAGTAGACATTCACAAAAATGTAGACATGAAAACCAGAAACAAAAAGGTTAAAATGTGTAAAAGATGTCAAAATATTTCAATGAGAGACGTTGTATCACTAGTCAATTGTTTGAAATCTCTACCAGTAGAGACATTCTATCACTAATGATGTGGTGGAAATAGTTGCCGGTAAAGATAGTGTAACACAAGTGATTTGGTTGCAATTATTTATACCAAAAACATACAGCTTTAACGGAGCACTTTAGATTATAGTTGCAGACGGGTTATGACCAAAATGAGTAGTAAATATAGATTATAGTAAGTATAGGTGATGCATTCCAAAATAAGACATACTTGTTACCGCGTTACAAAAACATCATAATTAAACCTATTCATCTTACAATCATTAGGAAACACGTTATATCAACTTACGATAATCATCTTTGCTTTCCCGAATAGGAGAAAGAAGGATGTCTAAATGTAGGTGTAAATGTGGGTGTAAATCGGATAACCCGGAGGAAACCCACGTGTTTATGCATGTGACCTTTCATATTTCTATTTTGGAATCAAACCCCAGCTGTCGCTTTGATGAAAGACGAGTGTGATATCAACTGTACCACCTGATCACTTTATCATATCTGGTGACGTGATAAGTAAGCAGCTTATTATGGGATACATTGTATGATATACCTGTTCACATGCTAATCATTTGCGGATGCTGGCAATTAGTTTCCGATGAATTCATTGAAATCACGTAATTTCCAAGTTAAAGATTTCTCATATTGGTCGAGAGAATTTTCAATATTATGTTTTATGTCTACATTTTACAGCCATTACATCGCCATTTATTTAACGCACGATCGCATTCGGAACTCCTCACGCATGGTCGGTTTCAAGCCCAACTCATTCAATTGCTCAGCAGAAATATCTTATTTGTGATATGTTCATTAAGTACACTAAAGAGATATATTTAATATGACTATACTTGAGAGTAGAAAAAAGGCAAACATACATTTTCCATTTAAACTGCGAAAATCTAATAGTCGAATCGATGAACATACATGGGTCTTTAATTTACTCAACATTGCCTACGGCTTAATTGGATATTACATTTAATGATAAAAGCGTCAAAGTGTCATGGTTTGAATGGATTTTAAATACGAGCGGAATACTTGAATTTTAGGTGTTTAAACGTGTGTTAAGCATTTGCAAATATCAAAAGATATTATCAAGGGGAAATTAAATGTTTTGTGACAAAATGCATGTATAATAAGCCATTTATTTAATAGTATCGACAACGTCAACAAATCTCCTTATGAATTAATGCGTGACATCACATGTATAGCAATCACGAACACCTGTTGTAAGGCAAAATGATATATGAATTCATTCGTACACAATTTGTGCAATTCTAAAGGTTAAGGAACGTTAGGAAAAAAGACCTGCTCTATCTCATTCATGACAGTAAAACTAATACACCACTCCTGGTAAGCAAAGGTCATCTGCCAAGAAGAGTTCAGAAAGATCATATCAATACGCTATCGTCACTCAATACGTTAGACCACCTTCTGTTCTTCTCTTATTTAACAACTGTCTGTTTTTGTTTGTTTTTTGTTTTTTGGTTCATCTCCAAGACAATTTTACTTAACTGATGTCTAAACAATGTAACAGGGCAGGGTGTCAAGAATCGTGTCATCTTTATGACATTTAAGCGTGGTGGCACTAACTTGCTACACCTGAAGTTGACATTGACGTCATATGACCTTAGCTGTTGTTTGGCTTCCCTAGGACATGTACACATCTGTATATGTTACCTTAGCAAATGGAAGGCACCAGCATCCATAGACACCGGCGTGTCACATGACATTAGCTGTGATGTGGCCCAATCATCCGCAGACACCGGCGTGTCACATGACCTTAGCTGTGGTGTGGCCCCATCATCCATAGACACCGGCGTGTCACATGACATTCGCTTTGGTGTTGCCCCATCATCCATAGACACCGTCGTGTCACATGACCTTAGCTTTGGTGTGGCCCAATCATCCACAGACACCGGCGTGTCACTTGACCTTAGCTGTGGTGTGGCCCCATCATCCATAGACACCGTCGTGTCACATGACCTTAGCTTTGGTGTGGCCCCATCATCCGTTTTCACCATCGTGTCACATGACCTTAGCTGTGGTGTGGCCCCATCATCCGTTTTCACCGTCGTGTCACATTACTTTAGCTGTGGTGTGGCCCCACCGTCCGTGGACACCATCGTCATATATATATATGGTCTACAAATAGACACTTTTAGGAACGTGCGTCATGGAGGAAAAATTGTATTGTCTCCTTTTGTGTAGATGCATTCTCACAATGATGAATAGTAAACCCAAAACTGTTTATACACCAGCCGTAGAAAGACTAATTGTTTTCGCTGGTGGTTGATAATTCCCTCTCTGTTAAAGAACACTCTCAATACCCTCAATTCTTCATTGCATTACAGTAATCATATGAATTTATAACGTGCTCTTCTTCCGCAAGGTTGATTACCCATTTATCTAAGAATAAATTGCGATTTTTTTTATGAAATTGTAGGAATATCCTCCAAATAAAGTCATCATCGAGCAAGGAGAGATCGGCGACTTCCTGTTTATCATCAAATCTGGTGAGTTGTGGGATTTCATAAACTCTTGTAGGACAATCATTACACCACCAGGTCACTGTTCGTTGAGGTAGACTTTTAAATGAACGGGGTTAGAGACTATCCTTGTGTATGCAGCAGGAATGAGAATAAGTAATTTTGTTGGAAAATAATCATAGAAGTATTGATACACAGCGTGGTGTGTTTATCACTGATTCTATAAGCTGTGCATGTCGGTTCACAAAGTTGTAAATTGTCAGGTTTTATCTTAATCTAAATACCGTTTTTATCTTCAACATGAATAGTCTCTGGACAGTGTAGTATTTAAAGATAACTATCCTTTATTTCTTCATCGTATAACATAGGAAAAGAAAACCGCCAGCTACAAACTTTGTCATAGACATTAAAACAGCGCCGACAAAGTGAAAATTTCCACAAGAGAAAACTATCTACACTATCACAGAATATGTTGTTTTTGTTCGTTGCATGTTTAAACTATGTTGTTCTGTCTTTAAGGTCGATGTCAGTGTGAGAGGAATGTGTACATCACAGAGTCAGATATAACGGCGCTGTTCTACCTGTCCTGTCGGGAACCAGGTAAACAGACATAGGCTAGAGTCTATAGATTGGAACCAGGTAAACTGGCATAGGCTAGAGTCTATAGATTGGACCCAGGTAAACTGGCATAGGCTAGAGTCTATAGATTGGAACCAGGTAAACCGGCATAGGCTAGAGTCTATAGATTGGAACCAGGTAAAATGACATATAGTTTATAGATCAGAGCCACGTAAACTGACATATAGTTTATAGATTAGAACTACGTAAACTGACATATAGTCTATAGATTAGAGCTACGTAAACTGACATATAGTCTATAGATTAGATCTACGTAAACTGACATATAGTCTATATATTAGAGCTACGTAAACTGACATATAGTCTATAGATTAGAGCTACGTAACCTGACATATAGTCTATAGAATAGAGCCACGTAAACTGACATATAGTCTATAGATTAGAGCTACGTAAACTGACATATAGTATATAGATTAGAGATATGTAAACAGACATATAGTCTATAGATTAGAGCTACTTAAACTGACATATAGTCTATAGATTAGAGCTACGTAAACTGACATATAGTCTATAGATTAGAGCTATGCAAACTGACATATAGTCTATAGATTAAACTTATGTTAACTGACATATAGTCTATAGAATAGAGCTACGTAAACTGACATATAGTCTATAGAATAGAGCTACGTAAACTGACATATAGTCTTTATATTAGAGCTACGTAAACTGACATATAGTTTATAGATTAGAGCTATGTAAACTGACATATAGTCTATAGAATAGAGCTACGTAAACTGACATATACAATAGTCTATAGATTAGAGCTATGTAAACTGACAAATAGTCTATAGATTATATTAGAGCTACGTAAACTGACGTATAGTCTATAGATTAGAGCTATGTAAACTGACAAATAGTCTATAGATTAGAGCTATGTAAACTGACAAAAAGTCTATAAATTAGAGCTATATAAACTGACATATAGTCTATAGATTAGAGCTATGTAAACTGACAAAAAGTCTATAGATTAGAGCTATATAAACTGACATATAATCTACAGATTAGAGCTATGTAAACTGACAAATAGTCTATAGATTAGAGCTATGTAAAAGAGCTACGTAAACTGACATATAGTTTATAGATTAGAGCTACGTAATCTGACGTATAGTCTATAGATTAGAGCTACCTAAACTGACATATAGTCTATAGATTAGATCTATGTAAACTGACAAATAGTCTATAGATTAGAGCGATATAAACTGACATATAGTCTATACATTAGAGCTATGTAAACTGACGTATAGTCTATTCTATAGATTGGAACCAGGTAAAATGACATATAGTTTATAGATTAGAACTACGTAAACTGACAAATAGTATATAGATAAGAGATATGTAAACTGACAAATAGTCTATGGATTAGAGCTATGTAAACTGACACATAGTCTATAGATTAGGGCTACGTAAACTGACATATAGTATATAGATTAGAGCTACGTAAACGGACATATAGTTTATAGATTAGAGCTACGTAAACTGAAATATAGTCTATAGATTAGAGCTAAGTAAACTGACATATAGTCTATAGATAAGAGCTATGTAAACTGACAAAAAGTCTATAGAGTAGAGCTATATAAACTGACATATAGTCTATATATTAGAGCTACGTAAACTGACGTATAGTCTATTCTATAGATTGGAACCAGGTAAAATGACATATAGTTTATAGATCAGAGCCACGTAACCTGACATATAGTTTATAGATTAGAGCTACGTAATATAACATATAGTCTATAGATTAGATCTACGTAAACTGACATATAGTATATAGATTAGAGATATGTAAACTGACATATAGACTATAGATTAGAACTACGTAAACTGACAAATAGTCTAATATTAGAGCTACGTAAACTGACATATAAGTCTATTGGTTGAAGCTACGTAAACTGACATATAAGTCTATTGATTGACTACGTAAACTGACATATAGTATATAGATTAGAGCTACGTAAACGGACATATAGTCTATAGATTAGGGCTACGTAAACTTACATATAGTCTATAGATTAGAGATATGTAAACTGACATATAGACTATAGATTAGAACTACGTAAACTGACATATAGTATATAGATTAGAGCTACGTAAACGGACATATAGTCTATAGATTAGTGCTATGTAAACTGACGTATAGTCTATAGAATAGAGCTACGTAAACTGACATGTAGTCTATAGATTAGAGCTATGTAAAAGAGCTACGTAAACTGACATATACGCTATAGATTAGAGCTATGTAAACTGACATATAGTCTATAGATTAGAGCGATATAAACTGACATATAGTCTATAGATTAGAGCTTTGTAAACTGATATATAGTCTATAAATTAGAGCTACGTAAACTGACATATAAGTCTATTGATTGAAGCTACGTAAACTGACATATAGTCTATAGATTAGAGCTAAGTAAACTTACATATAGTCTATAGATTAGAGCTATGTAAACTGACATATAGTCTATAGATTAGAGCTATGTAAATGACATATAGTCTATAGATTAGATCTACGTAAACTGACATATAAGTCTATTGATTGAAGCTACGTAAAATGACATATAGTCTATAGATTAGATCTACGTAAACTGACATATAAGTCTATTGATTGAAGCTACATAAACTGACATATAGTCTATAGATTAGAGCTATATGTATGTAAACTGGAATATATCTATAGATAACGCTCAATAGTCCTGAAAGTCTGTGATACTCCATACAGTATCGTGGCAACCATCTTGTTTCCATATGATTTCGGCATAATGAAATTTGCAGAAGAAATATACTACTCTATTGAACAAGTATTTAGATTCAATCAATTGGTAACACTACAGTAATTATACGAAAGTCATGGTAATAAAACGGTCAAAGGGAGATAACAAGAAAATATATTCCCATGTTATAACGGAATAAAGTATAAAGTATGATAAATATATTTTGTTTTAAAAAGTTTAATATTACGATCTTGATTTCATTGAGTATGAAAAATTACACGTGCCCGTTATACTGAATTGAATTTACAAAGCTGAGATCCTCATAACCATTAATTTTAAAAACAAGTAAGTCTTCATGTTTTACGCTCGGAAAATAAGCTGTTAAAGTTATCGAATAGCAAAGGCATTATTTCTGTATCACAAGTAATGAAAGCCATGTAAGACAATGAAATGTCTCATTGTAGATGACTTCTTCGGCGAGGAATGCCTGTTAGATATGGAGCCAAGTTATGCCAGAATAACAACAACGAGTTTGACAGTGTGTTACAAGATCCCGAGGTGAGAGTCTGTATTGTTATTTCCTTATACATGTACTACATCCCTTTGTAACGTCTACAAGTCCTATTTATGTTGATAACTTAATTATCAAATATGAAGCATGTGTGCTGGGACCCATATCAGTATAGCATATGTGTATTTCAGACATTTGTAACGAACCCCTGTGCCTAAATCGAGACAATTTTCAGTAAGTATGGATGCATTTTGTGCAGCAGGATCAAAATTCCAAACACGTTGATTCATTTTCCTACATATCATCCACTTCTCTTTTACAATGCGAGTTGATATTTCAGGCACGTGGTTTTATAAAAAAGATAAAAAAAAAAATATACAAATCCTCACTGTTTTAGACTCGAGGGAGGTCCTTATATGATTTCTTTCGAAAAAAGGATAGCATAAGTTTTGAAAAAGTCAGTTTTTGAATATAAAATCAAAATAGATAGTGTTGCACGGCACGTAAATTTAAAAAATGATACCTTCGAAATAAGAATAATTAATTATTTTTTAAATGTCCGTGTTATCATAATCATCTACCTATAAAGCGGATGTACAGTTAAATCGACATAAAAGTATCATGTATCAAAATTGCATATTTAAAATAATTATTTGAATTGAATGCCAATGTTTTTGTCCGCTTTCCAACAAGTGTCCCGGTTTGGGTACACTACAGTTATTTGGGGTAGAGGTATAGTCAACAACACACATTACCTGTACCCTGTCGTCCGCATACACACACGCAAGCACGCTTGTACCAATATACTGTATACTGATCTTTCCTAGGTAATTCATTGCTCGGGATTTTTGTTTGTTTACTGTTTGTTTTATACAAATTGTCAATATTTTAGTTTGTATGGTATAAATTTGATAAGCGGTTCTACCGAAGTCCGATATCCGCCAAAAAAATGTTATTATACAGTGTGTAGTCCGCAATTATTTACGGACTTCCTATATAACAATATCCATCAAACCTTGCTATAGGTGTTATATTGAAAATGATAAAATTCAACCATAAAACATAAAGGATACCTTACAAACTGACTCATCTACGAAATAAAGTGAAGAGTTATTTTGAATCAATATAAAACGAAAAAATAACACTAAGGTTATAACTGCAAGAACAAACTGACGAGTACAGATGAACTGTAATAGAAACTCGACCATAATGAGATTATCTATTGGTAAGAATAACTATACTGGTATTAAATACATCCGTTTCGTACCTTTCACAGAGTAGCGTTCCAGGTCCTCAGCAAGGACATCCTGGTACGGTTTGTAGAGGAACACAGACACGACTTCCCGCCGGAACACTCTCTGATGGATCGTGGATATCGGAACACTCTATGGAACAACTACAAATTCTACAGGATCAAAGAGACACTCAAGGAAAATGGAAAGCTCCACTATATGTGTACGTCAAATGGATGCGATGTTAATTCTAGGCCCCCTACTGCAAGGTAAATGCGATAAACTACTAGGTTTAACTAGCTCCCGTTTGTGTTTATTGAATGCGTAAACTGAACCAAACTGGTATGCTGCCCTAGTTACAGACTTTAACTTCCTCATTTACTATCTTTTTCCGGTGCCGATTCCCTAAGTGACTTGGTCTCGGATATATGTTGTCACTGCTCATATTTGGTTACATTGTACAATCACCAGTGTACACCTTCGCTGTTGTGAATGTACCAAATCAATAAAAAGTTAACTATTTCCAACCATAAAATGTCAATGGTACGATAAAGCGTCACGAAAAATAGGCTTTAATATCAATTTTAAATGATTATTTATATGACAAAAATTAATATTTTGTATAATTTATTCTTACTGTACCCAAGAATGGCGCAAAGCTGTGAAAATAGAAATAAACCATACTTTAAACTGTTTATTATAGTGACCAGTACAAAGAGAACATGTACAGATTTATAATGAAAGGAGCACAGTATACGCCATTCCGTGTCAAATCGGCCGTTTACCCCAGCCGACAAACAAGTCCGTCAAACAATCATCGTCGTCGGCCAGCCACGGCAATGGAGAGAACGACGAGACCCGATCATGATGACGCCGACGATGACTCTAACGACGACGCAGAAGATGACGCAGATATAAATGATGATAATGACAACGGTATGTTTGTAGCCGGAGATAGAATACTACAGCAAGTTTCTCGACAACCCCAATCCGACAGTATAAATTTAATTAATAATACCAGTTAATAGCCTTCATTTTGTCGTGATGGTTCATTGTGTGATGTTACTGTTCTTTAAGTATCGATTATGAAGTCGTATTTTTTTTATCAATTAATGGTATGCATAATAGGTGCCAAACTTTACATCAAAAGGATTTTTAAAACGTTCGAAAGATTTTTTTATTTTCTACAATTCAGGGGATATTTTGCGTTTTGACTTTTCACAACTTTTTTCTTTGTTGGAATTTCAAAGTTCTGACAAATTATTGTTGTTCAAATGTTTTTAATTTGCAAATCATTCTAGTGCAATAAACTGTATTACAAACAAGAAAATACACAATTAGTCAGAAAGGATGTTTTACTATTGTCATGTCTTTTATACATTTTACTTGGAATTCGTCACAAGCAAATCAAATGTTTTTCCTGGGATTTCTGTCTTTTTTTGATATTTTGCCCTGAATAAGTTACCAAAAAGCTAGCACAAGACGTCATTTGTCACCTACATGCCATAGCTGCGGTCTGTTCGTCTGTGTGTGAATAAATAATTTCCTATGTTCATGTAGGAACCTATGTCATTTTTGGTAATTATATATGGGTTTTATTTTGAATTAATTCTAATCTTATAATATTCCTTAACTGCCTGACTATTCTATAATTCTCGTTCATCTAGATGGTGCAATATTAGAGCCAGAGAAAGATGACAATGGAAATCAAAGATCTGACAGCAAGCTTCTTGGAGCGGAACTGGCACGAACGCTAGAAAAACACTACTCAAAGGTTAGTATTGCGACACTCCACCCTTAAAGTGATGTCTCCGTGTCATTACACAATCTACCATTATTCGTAAAATGACTTTAACCCACAGTAGATTGATTACAAACTTTTATGTTTATGTTTTATCAATCAAAACATTTAGAAATGTGACATTTTTATATCTATTACCAACTTTTCTAATACGTTCACTTTTTTTAAATTATATTTCTTATTAATACCATTTTGTAGTGAACTTGTGTATATCGACACATACTAGACCACGTGACAATGTATGCGTGTTTAAACAGAGAAAACAAATAAGTTTTGGTCATAAGTTAACGATGGCCTGTAATATGTGTCGGAAATATCATGGTTCATTGTTTTGACAAATATGTTAATAGCAGTCCGTGAATAAATGTTCTTATTACTTTTTTTAGCATGTTTCAGAAATAACACAATTAGTGTTCCTTCTATATTGACCTATTTTCTTCTTATAACAGTTTGTTCTTATGTTTAGTTCTACAATCAAACTCCGTTATCAGAATGACATATGAACATATTTTAAGCCAGTAATAGTTCAATCAGGTTCAAAAAGTAATGTTCTCATTAATTTTAAAATATCTACTTTAAGATACTCTATCAAAACAATACCAATATTTCTATACATTTTTTTTTTTCAAACAATTTACTGAAAGTGTCATCAAGTTAATAGGGTTTGGTATATTTTTATTAACAGAAAGATATTGTAGTGTTTCTCATACTGTTCCCAATATCACGTTTTATTTGTGTTCGATGATTTTGTACCATTATACAGGTTAACGTCAAGAAAATTCGAAATGTACTGAAGGTAATAATGCATGACCATACTAACATTGCATGAGTACGTGTGTGTGTGTATCTACCCGGTATTATTAACTGTTACAGTGGACATTTTCACGTTATTTAAATCTGCAATTTAATGTTTACACCCGAGTACGATCTGGAACCAATAAACTGTTTATGTATCATTACTAACGCGAGCTTCCGGAGCCGGCTATATGTAGAGGAGCCAAGTAGCGAACGATTCTACACGCGGAACTTCCCACTTCTACAGAATGTGTTATATTAAACAGAAAAATAGCAAGTTATTTATCAGGATTTACTGTAAGTCATTTACTTTTCGCGAAAAAGACCCATTTATTGCTATTTTGCTGCAAGCGATTTATTAATGAGAAAATCAATTCACGAAAAGATACGACATTTACAAATGACACCATTTACTTTGTTGAAATATAGTCTACTTAGTTTTTCGTATTATTTTGGAAACCATGATAACTTATGTTTGCATAACTAATGCGAATGTTTTTCTTTTGTGAAATCAATATGATGTGCAGTAAATATCGAATATACTATCGTGAACAATACTAGGTCTAGTCAAGTTAATTAACACATTTTGAAATGAAAAGTAAGTTAAAATATGTGGGGAATATAATTTCTAAATTGGAAACGTTAGGAGTAAAAAATCACCTTAAACATTCTTAGTCACATCTGATTACCAGTCATATAAAGTTTCAGCAAAAAACTCTCGCCATTTTTGTTCAGAATTATGATACATCTACATCATATAACGCCTGTTTGTGACCAGTGTGATATCCTAGCTTATATTTACTATATATAGGTAAGCGTGTTGTGATGTTTCCTATTAAACGCATAACTTCGTTGTCATTTGAGTTTGTATTTGACGGTGTGTAGTGGTAATGTGGTTTATTTCACTTGTATGGTATAGATTTAGTAGGATATAGCATTGTTATCATTTGAGTTTGTATTTGACGGTGTGTAGTGATAATGTGGTTTATTTCACTTGTATGGTGTAGATTTAGTAGGATATAGCATTGTTATCATTTGAGTTTGTATTTGACGGTGTTTAGTGGTAATGTGGTTTATACCACTTGTATGGTATATATTTAGTAGTAAATAGCATTGTTATCATTTGAGTTTGTATTTGACGGTGTGTAGTGGTAATGTGGTTTATTTCACTTGTATGGTATAGATTTAGTAGGATATAGCATTGTTATCATTTGAGTTTGTATTTGACGGTGTGTAGTGGTAATGTGGTTTATTTCACTTGTATGGTATAGATTTAGTAGGATATAGCATTGTTATCATTTGAGTTTGTATTTGACGGTGTGTAGTGGTAATGTGGTTTATTTCACTTGTATGGTATAGATTTAGTAGGATATAGCATTGTTATCATTTGAGTTTGTATTTGACGGTGTGTAGTGGTAATGTGGTTTATTTCACTTGTATGGTATAGATTTAGTAGGATATAGCATTGTTATCATTTGAGTTTGTATTTGACGGTGTGTAGTGGTAATGTGGTTTATTTCACTTGTATGGTATAGATTTAGTAGGATATAGCATTGTTATCATTTGAGTTTGTATTTGACGGTGTGTAGTGGTAATGTGGTTTATTTCACTTGTATGGTATAGATTTAGTAGGATATAGCATTGTTATCATTTGAGTTTGTATTTGACGGTGTGTAGTGGTAATGTGGTTTATTTCACTTGTATGGTATAGATTTAGTAGGATATAGCATTGTTATCATTTGAGTTTGTATTTGACGGTGTGTAGTGGTAATGTGGTTTATTTCACTTGTATGGTATAGATTTAGTAGGATATAGCATTGTTATCATTTGAGTTTGTATTTGACGGTGTGTAGTGGTAATGTGGTTTATTTCACTTGTATGGTATAGATTTAGTAGGATATAGCATTGTTATCATTTGAGTTTGTATTTGACGGTGTGTAGTGGTAATGTGGTTTATTTCACTTGTATGGTATAGATTTAGTAGGATATAGCATTGTTATCATTTGAGTTTGTATTTGACGGTGTGTAGTGGTAATGTGGTTTATTTCACTTGTATGGTATAGATTTAGTAGGATATAGCATTGTTATCATTTGAGTTTGTATTTGACGGTGTGTAGTGGTAATGTGGTTTATTTCACTTGTATGGTATAGATTTAGTAGGATATAGCATTGTTATCATTTGAGTTTGTATTTGACGGTGTGTAGTGGTAATGTGGTTTATTTCACTTGTATGGTATAGATTTAGTAGGATATAGCATTGTTATCATTTGAGTTTGTATTTGACGGTGTGTAGTGGTAATGTGGTTTATTTCACGTGTATGGTATAGATTTAGTAGGATATAGTGGTAATGTGGTTTATTTCACTTGTATGGTATAGATTTAGTAGGATATAGTATTTTTATCATTTGAGTTTGTATTTGACGGTGTGTAGTGGTAATGTGGTTTATTTCACTTGTATGGTATAGATTTAGTAGGATATAGCATTGTTATGATATGGACACGTACTCACTGCTTAATCACCAGTTGTAACATGGTACATATCACTTAAAGATGAAATATTTTACAATTTGGCAGCCGATTGTTTTTGTTATATATTTAATGTTTCATAATGAAAGTAGTTTTGCAAGACTTCTTATCCGCGAATCTTAGTGGATTGGATGCAAATACATTGTAGTCACATATTTCTAAACATTTTCTTCAGGTTTGTAAGTATGGATTATGCGAAGTTCTTTTTACACAACCAATACAATTTTCTATGTGACGTTTCGATGACTAGTACGATATGTACACTGTCACCTTCATCAGACAAACGACCAATGAAGCGTATGCACACAAAGGTGTAAAACGTGTACGAGTTGTCCATACAATCGATGTCGATTTCGGCTAAGCTGGAAACGTATGTACAATAGTTGTTATATATGTACAGAAATGACTCAATTGAGGTACACTTTGTTAACACTTGGTCATAGATGTGCGAGAGTCTTTGAACCCCCTCGTCTCGATTTGCACCTTTGTGTGTATACGCTCCATTGGTCATTTGTCTGATGAAGGTGACAGTGTGCATATCGTACTAGTCATCGAAACGTCACTAAGAAATATTTATTGGTTGTGTAAAAAGAACCATAATAATTGTAGTTACATATTTATAAATGTTATATGCATGTACGTAGCTGCCAAACCATTACTGTATTGGCATTAGTAATATGTATATGTAGTTCCAGACTCCTCATATATGACTTCCTATATACCCTGTAAGATGTGTTCAGTGTTTAACACATCGGAAAATCTATAAAGTGGTAATATCTTGCATACGGATGAAAATGTATGAAACACATTCATAACATGTTTGTGCTTGACGATACACTTGTTACACATTTGTTTTCAATTAATTTGTGTTGCAGTCACACTTTAAGTTAATCTGAATATGATTGGCTTGAAATTAGCATTAACACAGACACTTGTAAAGCAATACATTTTGTAAACAAAACATCTGATGAGTTGATGCCAAAACGTTGTTACAATGCTTTGGATAATTCGTATCTTTAAATCATATTGATAAAAAATAATGCTTTATGCAAAAATATATAAAAGAAATCTATTTTCACAATCCTATTAAAAAGTTTGATATTCAGATAAACATACACAATAAAAAGAGTAAATTTGATAATCAAATGTATTATATGGTTTATATTTAGATAGGATGCGATATGAAAATATCTTATAAAAGTTAACATTTTGATTATTTTAAAGGGTATCGATGACAAAGAGGCTCTTCTGGATCTTTTGGACGAAACTAGTGAACTGAGCAAGCATCTAAAGAAAGCATGGGAGACTACAGATGTACCCGCAGAGGAAAAAGAGGGGTTCATGGTAAAGCGTAGTTAATTCTACATGTTTACACGGCACAAAAAGAGGGGTTCATGGTAAAGCGTAGTTAATTCTACATGATTACACGGCACAAAAAGAGGGGTTCATGGTAAAGCGTAGTTAATTCTACATGATTACACGGCACAAAAAGAGGGGTTCATGGTAAAGCGTAGTTAATTCTACATGATTACACGGCACAAAAAGAGGGGTTCATGGTAAAGCGTAGTTAATTCTACATGATTACACGGCACAAAAAGAGGGGTTCATGGTAAAGCGTAGTTAATTCTACATGATTACACGGCACAAAAAGAGGGGTTCATGGTAAAGCGTAGTTAATTCTACATGATTACACGGCACAAAAAGAGGGGTTCATGGTAAAGCGTAGTTAATTCTACATGATTACACGGCACAAAAAGAGGGGTTCATGGTAAAGCGTAGTTAATTCTACATGATTACACGGCACAAAAAGAGGGGTTCATGGTAAAGCGTAGTTAATTCTACATGATTACACGGCACAAAAAGAGGGGTTCATGGTAAAGCGTAGTTAATTCTACATGATTACACGGCACAAAAAGAGGGGTTCATGGTAAAGCGTAGTTAATTCTACATGATTACACGGCACAAAAAGAGGGGTTCATGGTAAAGCGTAGTTAATTCTACATGATTACACGGCACAAAAAGAGGGGTTCATGGTAAAGCGTAGTTAATTCTACATGATTACACGGCACAAAAAGAGGGGTTCATGGTAAAGCGTAGTTAATTCTACATGATTACACGGCACAAAAAGAGGGGTTCATGGTAAAGCGTAGTTAATTCTACATGATTACACGGCACAAAAAGAGGGGTTCATGGTAAAGCGTAGTTAATTCTACATGATTACACGGCACAAAAAGAGGGGTTCATGGTAAAGCGTAGTTAATTCTACATGATTACACGGCACAAAAAGAGGGGTTCATGGTAAAGCGTAGTTAATTCTACATGATTACACGGCACAAAAAGAGGGGTTCATGGTAAAGCGTAGTTAATTCTACATGATTACACGGCACAAAAAGAGGGGTTCATGGTAAAGCGTAGTTAATTCTACATGATTACACGGCACAAAAAGAGGGGTTCATGGTAAAGCGTAGTTAATTCTACATGATTACACGGCACAAAAAGAGGGGTTCATGGTAAAGCGTAGTTAATTCTACATGATTACACGGCACAAAAAGAGGGGTTCATGGTAAAGCGTAGTTAATTCTACATGATTACACGGCACAAAAAGAGGGGTTCATGGTAAAGCGTAGTTAATTCTACATGATTACACGGCACAAAAAGAGGGGTTCATGGTAAAGCGTAGTTAATTCTACATGATTACACGGCACAAAAAGAGGGGTTCATGGTAAAGCGTAGTTAATTCTACATGATTACACGGCACAAAAAGAGGGGTTCATGGTAAAGCGTAGTTAATTCTACATGATTACACGGCACAAAAAGAGGGGTTCATGGTAAAGCGTAGTTAATTCTACATGATTACACGGCACAAAAAGAGGGGTTCATGGTAAAGCGTAGTTAATTCTACATGATTACACGGCACAAAAAGAGGGGTTCATGGTAAAGCGTAGTTAATTCTACATGATTACACGGCACAAAAAGAGGGGTTCATGGTAAAGCGTAGTTAATTCTACATGATTACACGGCACAAAAAGAGGGGTTCATGGTAAAGCGTAGTTAATTCTACATGATTACACGGCACAAAAAGAGGGGTTCATGGTAAAGCGTAGTTAATTCTACATGATTACACGGCACAAAAAGAGGGGTTCATGGTAAAGCGTAGTTAATTCTACATGATTACACGGCACAAAAAGAGGGGTTCATGGTAAAGCGTAGTTAATTCTACATGATTACACGGCACAAAAAGAGGGGTTCATGGTAAAGCGTAGTTAATTCTACATGATTACACGGCACAAAAAGAGGGGTTCATGGTAAAGCGTAGTTAATTCTACATGATTACACGGCACAAAAAGAGGGGTTCATGGTAAAGCGTAGTTAATTCTACATGATTACACGGCACAAAAAGAGGGGTTCATGGTAAAGCGTAGTTAATTCTACATGATTACACGGCACAAAAAGAGGGGTTCATGGTAAAGCGTAGTTAATTCTACATGATTACACGGCACAAAAAGAGGGGTTCATGGTAAAGCGTAGTTAATTCTACATGATTACACGGCACAAAAAGAGGGGTTCATGGTAAAGCGTAGTTAATTCTACATGATTACACGGCACAAAAAGAGGGGTTCATGGTAAAGCGTAGTTAATTCTACATGATTACACGGCACAAAAAGAGGGGTTCATGGTAAAGCGTAGTTAATTCTACATGATTACACGGCACAAAAAGAGGGGTTCATGGTAAAGCGTAGTTAATTCTACATGATTACACGGCACAAAAAGAGGGGTTCATGGTAAAGCGTAGTTAATTCTACATGATTACACGGCACAAAAAGAGGGGTTCATGGTAAAGCGTAGTTAATTCTACATGATTACACGGCACAAAAAGAGGGGTTCATGGTAAAGCGTAGTTAATTCTACATGATTACACGGCACAAAAAGAGGGGTTCATGGTAAAGCGTAGTTAATTCTACATGATTACACGGCACAAAAAGAGGGGTTCATGGTAAAGCGTAGTTAATTCTACATGATTACACGGCACAAAAAGAGGGGTTCATGGTAAAGCGTAGTTAATTCTACATGATTACACGGCACAAAAAGAGGGGTTCATGGTAAAGCGTAGTTAATTCTACATGATTACACGGCACAAAAAGAGGGGTTCATGGTAAAGCGTAGTTAATTCTACATGATTACACGGCACAAAAAGAGGGGTTCATGGTAAAGCGTAGTTAATTCTACATGATTACACGGCACAAAAAGAGGGGTTCATGGTAAAGCGTAGTTAATTCTACATGATTACACGGCACAAAAAGAGGGGTTCATGGTAAAGCGTAGTTAATTCTACATGATTACACGGCACAAAAAGAGGGGTTCATGGTAAAGCGTAGTTAATTCTACATGATTACACGGCACAAAAAGAGGGGTTCATGGTAAAGCGTAGTTAATTCTACATGATTACACGGCACAAAAAGAGGGGTTCATGGTAAAGCGTAGTTAATTCTACATGATTACACGGCACAAAAAGAGGGGTTCATGGTAAAGCGTAGTTAATTCTACATGATTACACGGCACAAAAAGAGGGGTTCATGGTAAAGCGTAGTTAATTCTACATGATTACACGGCACAAAAAGAGGGGTTCATGGTAAAGCGTAGTTAATTCTACATGATTACACGGCACAAAAAGAGGGGTTCATGGTAAAGCGTAGTTAATTCTACATGATTACACGGCACAAAAAGAGGGGTTCATGGTAAAGCGTAGTTAATTCTACATGATTACACGGCACAAAAAGAGGGGTTCATGGTAAAGCGTAGTTAATTCTACATGATTACACGGCACAAAAAGAGGGGTTCATGGTAAAGCGTAGTTAATTCTACATGATTACACGGCACAAAAAGAGGGGTTCATGGTAAAGCGTAGTTAATTCTACATGATTACACGGCACAAAAAGAGGGGTTCATGGTAAAGCGTAGTTAATTCTACATGATTACACGGCACAAAAAGAGGGGTTCATGGTAAAGCGTAGTTAATTCTACATGATTACACGGCACAAAAAGAGGGGTTCATGGTAAAGCGTAGTTAATTCTACATGATTACACGGCACAAAAAGAGGGGTTCATGGTAAAGCGTAGTTAATTCTACATGATTACACGGCACAAAAAGAGGGGTTCATGGTAAAGCGTAGTTAATTCTACATGATTACACGGCACAAAAAGAGGGGTTCATGGTAAAGCGTAGTTAATTCTACATGATTACACGGCACAAAAAGAGGGGTTCATGGTAAAGCGTAGTTAATTCTACATGATTACACGGCACAAAAAGAGGGGTTCATGGTAAAGCGTAGTTAATTCTACATGATTACACGGCACAAAAAGAGGGGTTCATGGTAAAGCGTAGTTAATTCTACATGATTACACGGCACAAAAAGAGGGGTTCATGGTAAAGCGTAGTTAATTCTACATGATTACACGGCACAAAAAGAGGGGTTCATGGTAAAGCGTAGTTAATTCTACATGATTACACGGCACAAAAAGAGGGGTTCATGGTAAAGCGTAGTTAATTCTACATGATTACACGGCACAAAAAGAGGGGTTCATGGTAAAGCGTAGTTAATTCTACATGATTACACGGCACAAAAAGAGGGGTTCATGGTAAAGCGTAGTTAATTCTACATGATTACACGGCACAAAAAGAGGGGTTCATGGTAAAGCGTAGTTAATTCTACATGATTACACGGCACAAAAAGAGGGGTTCATGGTAAAGCGTAGTTAATTCTACATGATTACACGGCACAAAAAGAGGGGTTCATGGTAAAGCGTAGTTAATTCTACATGATTACACGGCACAAAAAGAGGGGTTCATGGTAAAGCGTAGTTAATTCTACATGATTACACGGTACAAAAATAGGGGATTCATGGTAAAGCGTGGTTAATTATACATGTTTACACGGCACAAAAAGAGGGGTTCATGGTAAAGGGTAATTAATCATACATGTTTACACGCCACAAAAAGAGGGGTTCATGGTAAAGCGTAGTTAATTATACATGTTTACACGGCTCAAAAACAGGGGTTCATGGTAAAGCGTAGTTAATTATACAACTTTACACGCCACAAAAAGAGGGGTTCATGGTAAAGCGTAGTTAATTATACAACTTTACACGCCACAAAAAGAGGGGTTCACGGTAAAGCGTAGTTAATCAAGTAATTTATACAATAAACCCGTATTCAATTGATCAAGGAAATTGTATACCTGATACTTGATATACAATGTATTGGTACTGTTTTACTGTGAATTTCTATTTTTCACGTTATAACACACGTCAGGCACTGATCCCAGTCTTACTGACGATATCGTTAATAGATAGAAAGGTTAACTTTTCCTCAAACGCACTTGATATCGAGAAAATATGGACATCAAATAATCACACCATCAAGGGAATCCCCAATATATAACACACGTATGTATGTAATCAAATATACATGGATGATTAAATATAAAGTTCTTTTATTATTACTATAACGAATTTATCCCAACAAGAAGTTGTATTTTATGAAATAAAACACACACCTTGCATTCTTCACATATCTGTAGTTAATGATAAGATCATATTTTGTTTTCATTTTGTTTGAATTATAAATAGCAACTTTAAGATTTATATCAATAGTCTATTTATTTCCTAAATCCACAGAAAAATGGCGTTCTTGTGACAATGAAGTCTGATGACATCGTACGAAAGGCAATGGCGATGGCAGATAAACAGGTTCACCAGAGAGGCAAGGGCAACAAACAAGAGGAGGAGTACGTATGATGTGATACAGTCGTATCGGCTTCTCGCCACATTAAGGTCATTCTTTACCATGTGGTAGAAAATTGGTAAACGGAAGGGGTGTCAAAAGTGACCCGGAAATGTCAGTAAATGGAACAAACTAGAGTGTCCATATCTTAATTTCTTACGGATAAAATAGTATTTTAAACTTTGTTCCCGAGCTTTGTGGTAAAATAATCTTCCTTAAAAATTGATGTTATCAAACTCATGGACAAGTCCGTAGTCAATATAGACACACGTTATTTTACAAGTTTAATGGAGCTTTGTGCTAGAGTTATCTCCCTTGATAAATCTAAAAATAGAATAAAACCGATGACGAGCTATTATATAACTAGTCAAAATGATTTATGGTAAAAATACAGCTCCCTAACAACAAAAAAGTGATTAATGTTTGTAGTTGGGACACAATACTGCAAGCTGAGAACAACCAGGCCAAATTCATGATGTCGGCCAACAAAATGAGAATCAACCTCCTACGAGACAAACTTATGGCCATTGATAAAAAGAGGAAGAAAACCATCCAACAGCGGAACAGAAGTGGAAGCAAGGTAGAATACAAGTACACCCCTAGTAAGTTCTTACAGGACACTGGTGAAGAAGAAGCTACGGAGACTCCACGTCCGTCCATTACGGTAAGTCGAGATATTTGTTTTACGATCTCCTTTGGTGGTCTCCTTTTCACCTTCGGTTATTTATGTTGTATTCTGTATCTGCACTCTCCTATTTTATTACACTGTGTAAAGAAAGGTATCAGTTTGTTCTTTTTTGTGCTTATAATTGTACGTTGTGCTTTCGATGTCACTCCTCCGGTTCGTTAGTGGTGTTTCATTACTTAGATTTGACCAACATTTAAATGGCGGGTGTAGTCACGGCTGCAGTTAAAAAAATATAAGAAATCTTTTCGATTCGTATTATATATATGCACTTCTCATCGAATACATATAACAACAGAACACACCGGCATCAGCTCGATCTCCAATCATAGAAAAGACTCCGCTGACACTTCGACAGAGATCCCTAGAGGATTGTACTAAGCGGATCCAGGAGGCAGGAAATACTGACCAGGATGTCTCCAGTGAAAAGGTTTAGTATTTAGAATAACATAGACATAGCATGCCATTTGACTTAACATCAAAATAAAACTAGACAACATTAGTATAAATCTGAATACAACGTTAACATAATATTGAAATTCAATGTAGCATTGTAAAAAAAGTTAGTACTATATGAAACATAAAACTGGACCTACAAACACAATAAAAGTTGTAGATATAAATATACTCGATACTTGTTTACCAAGGCACCATTTAATACAGTTGTCTCACCATGACCATGTCTTACAGTGTGCAATACAGACCAGACCCAGCAGTGCAATAGTGACAAGGCGAGAAGCCAAGCTCCGCCGTCGACGTCACTTCGGCTCTCAAGGTAAAGACACATATTAGTTCGCATGGGTGAGATCTCATCATGGTTCATTGTAGTCATGACGCCATACTTAAAAATTGTAAATTTTTTGCAGGTGCTGTTTTTTGCATTGTTTCAGGGTGGGAAATGGGTAGAGATAATGAAGTTGACTTGTGTTGATTATCTGCTAAGTAGTCATAATATATTGCCATCAATCGTAATAGAATGTCGGCTATATACAAAATCACGGATTCAGACGTTTTTGAGACCTTGAATTTCGCAGCTAACCTCGAAGGCTGTTGTTTATTAGTCACACCATGTAATATTCATTCAGACATAGACCTATTTAGATTACTTTGTCGTGCAACTACCATATATATTTAGAATATACACAAAGATATATTTAGCCGAACGTAATCATGTCATAAACAGGTAGTAGTTTTATGCATAATTTCTTGCAAAAATTGTCATATCCTCTCTTGTTTTGTCTTGTAACGCGTTTTATTTGTGTTTATGTTACTCGGGTGTCTATGAAAACACCTATCGGACATAATATTATCATTGCTTTAACCTTTTGAGTTCCGTATGAAACGACGAATGACATGTTGTTATTGATTTAGACAATAATGTTTCGTCATCAATCTTTTCGTAGGTTCTACAGAAACTCTACTCAGGAAATCGAACCAAAGCCTTGGACACAATCAGAACTCCATCATATATCGAATATGATATACATTCATACATTTACAGCATACACATTTTGCAGAGGTACTATTTTGCTGTATCCCGTGAATAAATTGTCCGTATGATGCCATTAGTTGAGAGAACTGATTTCGAGAGCTTTTATCTCACTGGATTGATCCCAGGAACAAAATTTTGAAAGTAATTCACTCGTTTCAATGTATACAGTATAGTGCTACTTTGGTGCAAATATAATCTTTACATTTCTCATTGTTAAGTTTTGTTGTATTGTATATTACATATATCCTGATTAACTTGTAGATTGCGAACTGATAACTATGTATAAATCACAAGATGTCAGTTTGGACTGTAGTGATCAATATAATGACAAAAATGTATCCAAGGTGTCATGATTCTTCTGGGGAGAATATGTCCGAAGTTCTGTTTCATCCGACCAACGCTTCGAGGTCATAGTGGTATAATCGAAATAAAACATTGGTTGAATCATTACTCTTACTTTCATTCATCATTGAAAACATACGTAGGTTCAAGATAAAATGTCTAAAAAACGACCTGTGATTCAGGTCGCTTTTCCAACTTACACTAGCACTATTGCATGAACAAGACACTACACGGGACAAATTAAATAGGAAAGTCCGCGATTTTAAATGTCATGTTCTAAAATATGATGTTGTATTTTTTTTATCTAAAAGCAATTGAAGCCTCGGTGCACTCACTGACAACACTCCTCGTCGCATACATCAGATGTTTCTTAGTCTACATATGAAAATAATCAGCCCCTATCTGATTTTACGAACGTCGAACATTCGTCCATGACCAAGTTTGTCTTAACTCCATTGTCTCCATGCCAGACATTAAATAATTTGGAATCGATCATATTTCCATAATTATCAAAATTAAAACCAAATATTTGTATGTTCCTGTATTAAAAATGATAACCTTTCGATAATATTTACAAAAAATACTCATACAATTGTTCTACTAAACATATTAAAAAAATCATATTGAAATGTCAACTCATCTATTATTACTGAAAAATCGATGAAGTTGATATAAACTTTATCTAGAAAAAAAACGTTTAGTCATTGGGCAGCATAACGTCTCTCAACTCAGTCATTGGGCAGCATAACAACTCTTAACTCTATAAAATATTCAAGTGTGAATGACAGCACCTATTGCGTGTAAAATGAGTATCCATGCACATATAACTATGTTGTAGATTAGCATCTGTGTCTATGGCCGAGTTCAGTATCGATGTTTAACGTATGTTTGTGATTGGTTCTACCATTAGAATTTACAGCATAACAATGACATTAGACTTTAAGATTAGCACTTCTGTTTAAGGAATGTCTTGTAAACTGTGTTTTAATTTTGTTCATGTCGAATTGTTGACCGATATATTTGTTCATTTATGTATTTCCATTTTGTGATATTCTTGTTGATTTCAGTAAAAACATAACATAAAATGGATATGTTCTTTGTTGTTTTTCAATCACCGAAACTACATCCTTTGACACGCTTTACAGAACAGTAAGAAAATCAATCATTTTTTCTTACGGCAAGTCTCGAAATGACCAGTAAAAATATCACTCGAAAAGATTTATCATTATAGCCATTGTCTACAAGTAAACAAAAAATATAGCTAATTTTACTTTTAGTATACTCATGCCCGCTTTGATGTGTCCGACAAATTTTATGAGATTACCAACTATTATAAAAGTGGAAATTGTCGGCCTGTGTTTTTCTAAGTTCGCGTTTCTAAATCAGATAAAAGAATCATTTTGTACAATCCACTCAGGCAATTAGGAGGTATTAGCGTCTTAAAGCAAAATATTAGATAATTTTCCTGTTTGGGGCCCGGTCTTCCTAGACCGTGGTGTCGAACCAGTCTCATTTATTTAGGAAATGATTGCCCTCCCCAATGAAGTTTCAGAGCTAAAGCTCAGGTGACCTAAAAAGTTGACGACGGACGCTGCGCCACGGTATATATAAGCTCACTATGGTCATTCGGACCAGGTTAGCTAAAAACTGACCAATCGCTAGCTATATAGGCTGTTACATGTCGTTTGAAGATTACAAAGGAGCGATATTCGACTTCAAACTAGATCGAACTAGTCTTCTTGTCTCATCAACAAGGTGGTAAACATTGAGCCTTCAGTTTTGCTATGACATATTCCAGCGGTGCAGAGAGCGAAAGTGAGCGTAACCCCTGAATATCAAGGATGACCTTACGAGGTTTCCATCTATGTTTCCGACAATAACTAAACCGGGACTTTGATATTCTAGGAAAACTAAGCAATATGTACATGTTTGTAATGGCCCATCGACAAAAACGTATACAGCCTAGAAACAGTTTAACAGTAGATGTGGATCAAGAGGGACACGACAGGAAAAAATTGAAAATGGACAGGGGTTAGTTACCCTTCATAACATAATGGAGATGGACGAAGGCAGTGCGTTAACACATGGACGCCTATTAAAATAATGGAGTTTGACGGAGGAAGTTTAACCTTTTTTATTTCGTAAACATGGAAACGTGCATGAGGACATGCAGACATTAGCATGGGTTTACTGTTGACATCGCCAATAACACGTGTTTATTTAATAACAAAACAAACATGGAGGTCATATTTAATTTTACATAACATTTGAAATAATTGGACGAATAAGTTAACAATTATATTAACATAGATTATATAATCATTGACTTACAAATTACATGTACATTATAGTCGAGAGTATCACAATGCAGCTGATAAAATAAGTGAAATAATTAACTACACAAAATATTGTTTATACATGTCACTCATCAACTTGTCAGCAACAAGTTATGGTATATGAAACGGGTCGGTTCCCCAACAACCAGATGACGTTAGGCACATGGTATAAATGCATACAATTTTATAGTACACATACAATACCAAATTACTTTTCATTCTTTTAAACTAAAATACTACATTGACAAAGCAAATAGCATTTATAAAAAATATATATAAAAAAAAAAAATCAAAGCTGACGACAAACAAAAACACTGCATAAGTTATATAAAAAGAACATAATATATGTCGAAATTTTAATTCTAGTAAATAATAGCTATCTCCGATAAAACATACACTATCAATTGCATTTATTCTGAGTATAGCACCGGAGTGTTTAATGAAAATGACGTAAAATAAAAGGAGATAATCCAGATAATCCTTCTACGTCAAATTATATTTCTACTACATTGTAGTTACATTATAACATTACCACAGGTATGATGAGAAGACATCAGCAGGGATGTAGCACTTATCACTTGTCATACGATTAACAACGATAAATAATAGGTAAGTGTAACATATCAAAACAACTCGTGAAATGTCCAAGACTTCGTTACAATTATTCATCTGAAGACAAGAAACTTTTTTTTTTAAACGACTCAGTAGAGAAAGACTACCCTGAGGTTAAAAATAATACGGCACTGTTGCTGACTGTTTTACTGATAATGATCGACTGTACATGTCTTTAGAATAAACAAGGCTGTAAATAATAAAACAGAGGATCTGAACACAACTTCCTTGTAATACAAAACTACGTCCAGGCAGCTACAAATGTACATATTATGCTAAAATCATGTCATATGATGTCAAGATGTTACAGTCATATACTGTACGTAGTGCTAAAATCATGTCATATGATGTCCAGATGTTACAGTCATGTAGTGCTAACACATGGTATGACGTCACAAAAATTAATATTTAAATAAAACTTTCAAACAAAAACGCATTTTTCGCTTTTTCTTTAGCCATGCATGCTATTCTGATAAATGAGTACTTGGTTTATAAATAATTTGTCCATACAAAGTTGATGCATTGACACATGAGAGTTTTCAGGAAAAATAATGCATTTTTCCAGCATTTTCCAAGCATTTTTTGGCAATCTTGTAACTTTTCAAGAAAAACAGTTTTCGGACAGATCACCTATAACGAATCACAAAAAAATCTGAACTTATTTGGCTAACATTTATAATATATATTAAATTAACATCAACAATCAAAGTTTTGTTACAGAACTTTAAGAAATAGTGTTTTCTCCAGTCAATTAGTCTAACACTAATAAAAAAAACATTGAAACAGCTATAGAAATGTTCAAAGATGCACCTTTTTTCCAAATACTGACCTAATTTAATGAAATGTTCATGTACTGAACAGGTACAAACAAAGGATCATCACATATACTTGCCATTCAACACTGAACAGCTACATCTACCATAAATACAGTTAAAATAGTGCACTCAAATTAATGTGCTTGAGCAACAATTTTTTAAGGCCTACAAATAATCATTTGAAAGAGCAGCAATCCATAACAAGCAGGGCCCGTATTCGAGAAACCATACTCATGCTTAAGCCTGGATTCTGTGCTCTAACCAACTTTCTTATAACTCACTTAAATCATGTCAAACGATCAAAAATTCAATTGTAAACATTGAAAACAGCTTTCAGCTCTAAGTCTCTACAAACATTTTCCAAATCAATGACACAATGAACTTTTTAAGAATTTATAACCAGATCAAGAAATTATGCTTGAGCAAAAGAACCATACATGAGCATCAGAACGGTTCTATTAATACAGGCTCAGGAATACAATAATTTTGTAATTTGCCTCTTTTCATCATTCAATCTTCTAATTCGATGTCAAAAGAGGGAAAAATATAACTACATGTACCACTAGAACTGTAATTTAGTCAACCATTATCATTCTTAATCAGGCTACTACTTTTCTCTGAGTCCTAACATTATGTAAGGTAGTTAAGGGGAAAGATTGAACTTTTCTACACAACTACAGTCATCTTATATAATAGTCACTTAATTTATACAACAACTGTGAAACAAGTGTTGTTTTTTTAAATTATATGAATCGCTCTTTATTTTGTTTTTAATCTCTACAGTTACTGTATTAAACTTCTTTAAATTTATCATTGTCTCAAATACTGGTGTCTTTCAAATGAAGAATATTCATAATATCTCCAAAATACATTCTCGGTTGTCACTATGGTCAAATGAACACTGAAGGTATACTCAAATATACCCTTACTTTTGTTGCTGTGGTCAAATTAACACTGGATACTTATATAGAACTGTATTATTGTCACTTATAAAGGTCAAATTGACACTGGATACTTATATAGAACTGTATTATTGTCACTTATAAAGGTCAAACTGACACTGGATACTTATATAGAACTGTATTATTGTCACTTATAAAGGTCAAACTGACACTGGATACTTATATAGAACTGTATTATTGTCACTTATAAAGGTCAAACTGACACTGGATACTTATATAGAACTGTATTATTGTCACTTATAAAGGTCAAACTGACACTGGATACTTATATAGAACTGTATTATTGTCACTTATAAAGGTCAAATTGACACTGGATACTTATATAGAACTGTATTATTGTCACTTATAAAGGTCAAATTGACACTGGATACTTATATAGAACTGTATTATTGTCACTTATAAAGGTCAAATTGACACTGGATACTTATATAGAACTGTATTATTGTCACTTATAAAGGTCAAATTGACACTGGATACTTATATAGAACTGTATTATTGTCACTTATAAAGGTCAAATTGACACTGGATACTTATATAGAACTGTATTATTGTCACTTATAAAGGTCAAATTGACACTGGATACTTATATAGAACTGTATTATTGTCACTTATAAAGGTCAAATTGACACTGGATACTTATATAGAACTGTATTATTGTCACTTATAAAGGTCAAATTGACACTGGATACTTATATAGAACTGTATTATTGTCACTTATAAAGGTCAAATTGACACTGGATACTTATATAGAACTGTATTATTGTCACTTATAAAGGTCAAACTGACACTGGATACTTATATAGAACTGTATTATTGTCACTTATAAAGGTCAAATTGACACTGGATACTTATATAGAACTGTATTATTGTCACTTATAAAGGTCAAATTGACACTGGATACTTATATAGAACTGTATTATTGTCACTTATAAAGGTCAAATTGACACTGGATACTTATATAGAACTGTATTATTGTCACTTATAAAGGTCAAATTGACACTGGATACTTATATAGAACTGTATTATTGTCACTTATAAAGGTCAAATTGACACTGGATACTTATATAGAACTGTATTATTGTCACTTATAAAGGTCAAATTGACACTGGATACTTATATAGAACTGTATTATTGTCACTTATAAAGGTCAAATTGACACTGGATACTTATATAGAACTGTATTATTGTCACTTATAAAGGTCAAATTGACACTGGATACTTATATAGAACTGTATTATTGTCACTTATAAAGGTCAAATTGACACTGGATACTTATATAGAACTGTATTATTGTCACTTATAAAGGTCAAATTGACACTGGATACTTATATAGAACTGTATTATTGTCACTTATAAAGGTCAAACTGACACTGGATACTTATATAGAACTGTATTATTGTCACTTATAAAGGTCAAATTGACACTGGATACTTATATAGAACTGTATTATTGTCACTTATAAAGGTCAAATTGACACTGGATACTTATATAGAACTGTATTATTGTCACTTATAAAGGTCAAATTGACACTGGATACTTATATAGAACTGTATTATTGTCACTTATAAAGGTCAAACTGACACTGGATACTTATATAGAACTGTATTATTGTCACTTATAAAGGTCAAACTGACACTGGATACTTATAACAATGTATCACTACGGTAAGTTATTCCTATTGTAGTTGTCATTAAGCTGTATTAATAGGCTTCAGACCTATCCGTGACAGTCAGGTTTATACAACAACAACAAACTCATTAACCTCTTGATCAAAGGAGGAACTTTAAAGTTAGTGGATTATTCTCCATTGGACATTTATCACTAAACAGTAGTTAAAGAATGGGGCCTTTGTTGGTCCATAGCAGAGGCAATCTGCATTTCAACAATGTAACAACTATTAATACCTATAACATTGTATTATAGGTGCCTATATCGCTGTTACAAAATATAGACAAGCTTTAAACTCAATCGCCAAATAACAAATATATCATAAAAAAGAATATCCTGAATATATCAAATATCACATGTTAATATCATAACATTGAAGGAAATATCTATATCACCTGATTATATAAATGTAAATGTATTTAATTGTAAAATGAATGATAAAAAAATAACAAACACAAAATACAACTTTTATGCATGTAAACATTACTGGAAATTATGTCCATGAATACATGGACTATTAGTTAATTATCAGTTTTAAATGTTGGTGATCATTATTTGAAACATAACTTAATGCCCAACCTTTATGTGTTTCCTTTATGAGAATTGCAATGGGTTTTCCATGGGATACAGTATTGGACAGTGACAGCTTCCATTAGCAGACAAATACACTGACCTGTTAATCATCTCATTCCAGATTCCTACGCGCATTTCATTCCAAATTATAGTATCTTTGTGTAGATTTCAATCAAAGAGTAAACAGATGTAAGACAACTTTACATTGCTCTTGGTTTCAAATTTATTTCTGTCTGTAAAAGTAAAGTCATGAAAATAATTGCTTAAAAGGTATTTTCTTCCTAATACTATTTCAGTGAATCATGACATCAACTTCCTTTTAAGCCTTCCAGTGTTTAATTATCCACAACTAGGACTGTATACTACATCATGTGTGTCACGCCCACTTTTGTTCATTACAGGTTGGAGTCACTGTGGTAAAATAGTTTAGGGTGGAAATAACTGTTATTTATACGAATTTGAAATCTAGCAAATATATGTACCTCATTCGGAATACAATTTCGAAAAGTAAGAAAATGCAAAAACAAAACGATAAACAGTGTATATTCCCTAGCAGATAATCATAATTCTGATTCTTAGTAATTTGAAACAATGGTATTTGAAATCGGTTTTCTTTTCAAATAAAAAGAATGTATCCCAAAATTTTAACATAAGCTCACCAACCTAAATTTCTCAAAAAAATAATATTTGTACAATGTACTTTCACGCTTGTTTGAACTTGTATGAAAAAGAAACTTATATAAGATGTTATATACGATATAGACAAAATAATTGGCAAAAACACATGTCACGATATAATTATTGATCCCATCAAATGTTTGATAAAACAGCTACAAATTGTCACAAATAAACAAATTGCGGCCATGGAATATAAAATCAGTGAAATGATTGAATTTGTAAAACCATAGCAAAGTTGGTGTTATGGTTCTATAAAAATGAAAAACAATATACAGTACTTTCTATCAAGACAACAATGGTTGATTTTCGTTAGATTCTGTGTACACAGGGTCGGCCTGGACTGACTGTACGACAGGGGATTCCTCCTTCCTGTCCAGTCTCCCGTAGGACAACAGTAGCATCACCTAGGACATATAACAACTGTACATCAGACTTCAACCACTTTGTCAAAAGACTGTGATAAACATTTGTTTTTGTTTTTTTACAACACTTATGATGTTGTGCATGGAGGGCCTAATTATTGTGGGAGGAAACTGGAGTTCCCGGAGAAAACCCATGTGGTCAGTAGGGGTGTCACAATACCCAAAGAGTGTATCACGATATATTCAATACAGAATGAATATATTGCAATACAAATCCCGATATATATTGTCATAGGAAGGATGCATGTGCTCAATTTTATAATAAGTTGTTATCAGAATGTTATCAAACTTTATCCTACATAATATGGATTACATATGCATAGAACTAAGATTTTTATCAAACCAACCATCGATTACAAAATTTGAACTAATAAAAGCCTGCTTTATGCTTATTGGCATTTCTTAGAATTTGTAGTAATTTGCAAAGTTAAAACACCAAGGTGATACATAATATGCCTATAAAAAAATATTGTGATACAGCAATATTTCATCTCTGTATTGTGTACAATAGGATATACCTGTGTATTGCGATATACCTGTTTTCTGATATATTGTGACAGCCCTAGTGGTCAGGCAGGTGACCCCCATACTTTTTCACGTCGATCAAGGAATCAAACCCCAGCTGCCTTTGTGAAAGGCAAGTATGCTATCCACTGCACCAACTGATCACCCAAAATAGCAGTGATTGAATGTAAAACATATTTATTGGAGCACGGAAGTATAACACAGAAAAAAAAAGTGAAATCTTACATTGAGAAACGAACAAGTAATATGTTTGTTGGCATTGGAGAAAAATAGAGATAACTTACCAATGACATGACTAGAAGTCCTAGCATGACCCCTAACATGATGTAGGGCCAGGAGAGGGCAGATCCCGTCCATAAAGGACCCAGGATCATACCACACCCCACCACAATTCTCCTCAGTCCTTGACTCAAACCTACAACAGTGAACATAAACCATAAAGCACCAGGGCAACTAACATAAAAAAATCTGTTCTTACAGACATATTTTTACTGTTTTTTTAAATTTTCTGGTTCATATATACCACCATTTGAAAATTACTTGACTGAAATTAGTATTGATTTTTTAAAGATATCAAAAACAACATTTAAACACAATGAAAATCCCTTAGTAGATGATTTTGATAACTTTATATCAGTGATATCTATTTAAAAGTTCAGTAATAAAAATTAAGTTGGTTATTTCTAACTCGGGCATATGCTGTAGATTCAGTTATATTACAAAAAAACATGTTAATCCTTTGTGAATGTAATAATAAGAATATATAATCCTTGTTTAATGATAAATACCATTTGTTTCAATTGTGTGGGATAAATAATTGACCTTTTCTCAACCTATATTTCTATTTGAAAAAAAAAAAACTGGTAGCCTTACCCTGATGCTCCTTTAACCCCTCTGTAATAAGGACTAGCCTTACCCTGATGCTCCGTTAACCCCTCTGTAATAAGGACTAGCCTTACCCTGATGCTCCTTTAACCCCTCTGTAATAGAGACTAGCCTTTCCCGGAGAGACCCCCTCTGTAATAGGGACTAGCCTTACCCGCGGAGAGACCCCCTCTGTAATAGAGACTAGCCTTACCTTGAAAAAACCCTTCTGTAATAGGAACTAGCCGTTCCTAGAGAGACCCCCTCTGTAATAGGGACTAGCCTTACCTAGAAAAACCCCTCTGGTAATAGGGACTAGCCTTACCCGGAGAGACCCCCTCTGTAATAGGGACTAGCCTTACCCGGAGAGACCCCCTCGGTAATAGGGACAATCCTTACCCTGATGCTCCTTCTTGGTGACCTTGGAGAACAATGATATACTACACACTGCCAGAAACGGTAGAGCAAACATGTCTAACACCAGCCCTACTATAAACATAGGAAGGTTGGTGGATGGCTTATCTGAAATTGAAATAACAAAGTTACAGGAGCTAATTACAATACAATATAATAAAGTTTAACCTTATATAGAACCCAAAATCAGGTAAACATAGAAAATCATTTGGGTATTACACCATAATAATAGTTTAACCTTACATTGAACCCAAAATCAGGTTAACATAGAAAGTCATCTGGGTATTACACCATAATAAAGTTTAACCTCATATAGAACCCAAAATCAGGTAAACATATATAGAAAATCATCTGGGTATTACACCATAATAAAGCTTAACCTTGTATAGAACCCAAAACCAGGTAAACATAGAAAGTCATCTGGGTATTACACCATAATAAAGTTTAACCTTATATATACCTAACCAAATGTGAGGCCAACACACAAAGTCATCTGGGTGTTACATTACACCATAACAAGCAAATTCATGGAATTTATATCCCCAACTTTCAGGACATGTTGTAGGTAAAAATTATTGAGGTTAGGTTTAAACATGTGAGTATCATACTGTTGAGACATAATGTAACGCTTGAAACTCGAAGAAAAAAAAAAGACTTATCATATATTTGCAAGAATTAATAAGCGGAAACTGCAGATAATGACTCAGCCAAATAGAGTCCGCTGAAAGTGGTCATCGAACTTGGCCAAGCACTTAAGGCATCAAACCCTGTTAGCAAGTTTGAAGAAAATCAGTTAACATTTGTTGCGGTTATTGCAAGGAAACGGTAAATGATGTTTTTCGTTATTTAAGGGGCCATAACTCCGCCAAATAAAGTCTACTGAAAGTGGTCATCGAACTTGGCCAAGCACTTAAGGCATCAAACCCTGTTGGCAAGTTTGAAAAAAATCAGTAAATATTTGTTGCAGTTATTGCACGGAAACGGTAAATGACATTTTTCGTTATTCAAGGGGCCATAACTCCGCCAAATAAAGTCTACTGAAAGTGGTCATCAAACTTGGTCAAGCCCTTTGGGCGTTTAACCCTGCATTAAGTTTGAAAAAAAATGGTTAACATTTGTTGCAGTTATTGCACGGAAATGGCAGATAATGATATTTTTCGTTATTCAATGGGCCATAACTCTGCCATATACAGTCCGTTGAAAGTGGTCATCGAAATTGGCAGAGCCCTTAAGGCATTTAACTCTGTAACCAAGTTTGAAGAAATTTGGTTAACATTTGTTGCCTTTATTGCACAGAAACGGCAGTTAATGGTGTTTCGTTATTCAAGGGGCCATAACTCCGCTAAATAAAGTCCATTGAAAGTGGTCATCGAACTTGGCCAAGCCGTTAGGCATTTAATTCTGTTACCAACTTTGAAGAAAATCAGTTAACATTTGTTGCAGTTATTGAACGGAAACGAAGCATGACAGACAGAAAGACAGACTGACAGACAGACGGACAAACCCGAAGTAATATCCCCCGTATTCGGTGAAAGCGGTGGAAAATAAAGTTAAACCATATACTGAACTGTAAATCAGGTCAACATACAAAGTCATCTGGGTGTTGGACTAATCAAGCATAGATAAGAACAAGGATTATATATCTTGGTTGTGAACATGTTAAAATACATTTCGATCCTTTTACGTGAAGTATTGATTCAAAGATACAACACTACTGTCTTATTTTACATGTTCTTGTTTGTTGGCTTCTCATTAGCCCTTATACTCAACGGAAAAAAACTGGGCATGTATAAAAGTAATTGATTTAATTCTATGAGGGGTATCCCTAAATAAAACCTGGAGGCCCTTGGTGGAACGAATGTTTTAATGGAATATAGCATATAGGATGTAAAATTAGAATATAAACATACATGTACCTATGCATGTAGCACCGATGTTGTGGAGGTTTTATCTATGCTATACTCTCAGCCTAAAAACAATTTGTGAAATATCTATGTCCTTATCTTGTGGTCTTTCTCATTGACAGTTGGTCTGGAATAATGCCTGTTTGATGTAAACTGAAACGAAACCATTAAAGTCTCTCTCTGTGGTATTGTACTCAACTGATTGATTGATAGAATTGTTTTACATCCGCTTCGCTTCCAAGTAGTTTGGTTATCCAGCAGAGGAAGAAAAGATAGAAAAGAAGGGACAAAGTGTGTAGCAAAAGAACAGGAAAGGATGGAAGAGGAGAGAGCTATCTATCCTACATGTAATAATTAATAAATCCATTTTTTGCAAGAGGATTCCGATGCCTTATGTTTGTCTTATCCTAACTATGAAGAGAGCCATCAGCTTTTATAAGTGGTACCTACCTGGGTCACTATTTGGAACAGCATAGAGCAGCCAACCACAGGCCAGTACAAGTGTCGACAATCCTATCAGTATCATTGTTCGGTCCTGGAGACGTTTACTTAGATATCGTACTAACATAAACACAGCAATCACCTGTAATACAATCAAAACATAGAATCAGCATCACCAACACGTGACAGCAGAAGCATTACAGGGAAAGGTGTAGTAATGTTTTTACCATTCCCTTGAATGGTTACTTACAGTAATAGATCAAGGTGTCAGCTAGGGGGAATACTTTAATTACTATTCCAAATGTACAATTTAATGCTAATGTGGGGGGGGGGGGACCAAGGCGGCAACTTTGAAATATGTTAGTGGTAGGATCTTAAATCATGTGATTGTATGGAGTGAGAAAACAGGAAACAAATAAATTCTCTACAGTGATGTGCTTGTACACATAGTATAATTAGTAACATCTTGATTATGACGTTAGATTAAACAAGAGGCCCAATGGGCCTGCATTGCTCACCTGGTATAAAACTCACACTTGTAACCTTAAAAGTGATCTAAAATAAAGCTACAGGCAAAATATCAGTATTTATGATTAAAATTCGTTCAAAAGACCCTATTAATTTTGTTTAAAACATTTCACCCCTGTGATTGAAAGTCGAACAAAGTCATTATGTTGAACACATTGTATAGCCTTTCATCTCAGGATGAAACTTGCAAAGTATAAACATCCTGGGACCCATGGTTATTCATAAGAGGTTGTTTAAAGATTTTAAACAAATTTGACCCCTGTGACCTTGAATATAAGTCAAAGTCATTCACTTTAACAAACATAGTAGTCCTTGATCCCAGCATATGCTACTAACTAAATATCAACATCCTGAGCCTTTTGGTTATTCAGAACAAGTTGTTGAAATATTTTAAACATATTTGCTCCTTGTGACCTTGAATATGATTCAAGGTCATACATTTAAACAAACTTGGTAGCCCTTGATCCTAGTATGCTACTGACTAAATATCATCACCCAGGGCATTTTGGTTATTCAGAAGAAGTTGTTTAAAGTTTTTAACATATTTGACCCCTGTGACCTTGAATATGGGTGAAGGTCATTTATTTGAACAAACTTTGTAGCCCTTTATCTCAGCATGCTACTGGCCAAATATCATTACCCTGGGCATTTTGGTTATTGAGAAGAAGTTGTTTAAAGTTTTTAACATATTTGACCCCTGTGACCTTGAAAATAGATGAAGGTCATTTATTTGAACAAACTTGGTAGCCCTTCATCCCAGTTTGCTTCTGGCCAAATATCATCACCCTAGGCCTTTCGGTTATTAAGAAGAAGTCGTTTAAAGTCAAATATTGACGACGGACGGCCGCTGCACCACGGCATAAGCTCACTTGGCACTTCGTGCCAGGTGAGATAAAATTCATGACATGGTAAAAACCTGTCTATGAATTGGAAAGATATTGTTCAAAAAATGACAATCTATCAAAATTGATAAAGTATCTGTGACCTAATAAAGAAAGCAGTTTCTAATTATTATCACTTGGCCTTAAAAGTTAAAAACAAATAAAACAAACAAACATTCTATGTTCATAAACAAAATAGCTAGATAATGTCTAGAAAGGGAATATCAACTGCTACAGAGGAAGTGTCCCTTACCCAATTTCAATTGCACAAACTCTGCTCATCTTTGAACTTTATCAGAGCAATACCATTATACACCCAAAATTTGATTAAAACGAATGAATATTTAGGCAAGTAATCTTTGAAATTGGAAACACATATAGTTCAAATCAAGCTGGAGTCAATAAGTATTTAAGGCATTAATTGTCCCTGTGCCTCTCCTGTGCTAATTGTCCCTGTGCCTCTCCTGTGCATTACTATGTTGTATAGTGCTATTATATTACCTCAGCAGCAGCACAGCAGTACATGATACTGTTTTCTAGCTCTCCCCAGTGTAGAAACTTCTGTGACAGAGGTGTTATCATAGTCTGAAAGGAAAACAGTTCAAAAATGTCGGCCTATATACCGAAAAAAACTGTGCACTTTGCATAAATCAACAAAGAGGTTTATGTACAAAAGTGCACACAGTTTTGTCTGTGTATACAGTAATTCTGGTTATAACCCTTATCATTTAATTTAAACAGTCAGACAACATATCTTAATTCATAGTTAGTGAATATTTATTCATTTCTGATAAAAGCAAATTAATTTTGCACAAAACAGCATTGTGCATTAATTTCATTGCCAAGCAACTTTAACCAATCATAAATTAGATTTACAATACTGCGCCAAACATTGCGGTATAAGACGTCATCACTTTCTGTGTCTTTTGGTTATATGATTTAACCTGAAAAACATCTATCATTGGGAGGATAGATTAATAAATTACACAGTCTTAACACCTACATTTGTAGTAAGTGATTTGGCCAGAAATCTATTTAAGCATACACTATGATATTGTCAAATAAATATGGAAGACCACACACCTGTGTTTTTCGAATGAATCAGAAAGCACAAGTTTATTGCACGGACGAATATATTCACAAGTGCGCGGAGTGAATATATACGTCCGCACAATAAATGAGTGCTCTATGAATTCATTAGAAAAACACAAGTGTGTGGTCTTGCTTTTATCACACACCTACCGTATTTGGTAGAGATTGATACAAAGATTTTATAAACTTGGATATTTTTTGCAAATACCGGGAACTTTTCAGTTCGTCATGACGAGGGAATTCCCATAAAAAGTAGTTCCGGCTAGTAGGTAAATACAACATTTCGTACTGCACATGTGCAATACAGAATGTTGTATTTCATGGTCTGAAAATTGCTTGTATTACAGGTATGTGATAAAGTGAATGATTACCCAGTATGTAAAGAATAGTGTATTGTTGATTTATATAAGGACCAAGAGCACCCAACAACATAATTATTTAGATTGCCTTTCCCATATAACTTATCTTTTCATGAGTAATCCATAGCATACATGTATATGTACACTTACCTCAAACCCAACCTGGTTGAAATAGCTGTTGAACTGCACCGCCATTAATACTACAACTTCTTCTCGAACATATTCTACAACAAAAACTCATTTGTATCAGAGCATCACCAGTCATTAGCTGGCAAACAGCATTTCAGATAAGCAAGCAAATTGTTATTTTTCAAACGAGCCTCAGGCGAGCTAAAATGAAAAATTTGTGACAAGTCTCATAAATTTCAAATGAAATGAAAACGAGCGTAATTAAGATCCTTTTTATCACATAACAAAAATTTGAGGCATTTATTTATGTAAAATGACAATTTTCATGCAACCTTGAAATGTAAAAAGCTGCCATTTTTTACTCCAGTCCATAAGCCTGTGACCTCATGTTCTTGTCCTAGGCCTGACATCACAAAAAAATTAATTGAAACAATTGAAGCTTACAACCAATCACAGGACTGACAGGTCATATTACATGGGTTAATCTAATTAATACACAAAAAAATATGACATGGGTATATTCACTGGATAACACAGAACATTATGTGCAGTGCTAAAATGAAATCAATATGGATAGTGATTTACAATTTACACACAAACATACAATGTACAGTTACATATAGAGTTAAAAGTACCAGTACAGTCACAACAAGTAGAGTTTTCTTTTCAAAAACAGATATTTGTTTGACCATACTATCAACATATAATGAAAATTACCTGTATATAGAAATCTCCAGGACAATTCATGCAGTTCCTGGCTATTTAAATTTTCTGTAGAGGAAGAAGTTTCTCCAAGAACAGGTGTCAGCCTGGAGTTATCTGCCCTTGAGAGGGTTGGTTCTTTTTGAGGCAGTGTTTTGCTGTGTATTTCCATGTACCTCTGGTCACTCTCGTTAACAGTGTGAAGTAAGTCTCTCTCTACAGAATCCATGTTGTCAATAGAACTATAGTTTTGAATTGTATCAGTTTTCTTTGTACGCTTTTCTTCAGCGATGGATTCAGCTTGGATTTTATGCAGATCCTTATATAGGAAAACCATAAGTAAGGACTGTAGGGCCCAGATTGCAGCCATGAAAACCTAAAGGCAAAACAAACAGACATTGATATTTTTATATACTTATAGTCAAGTACAGTGATTCCAACAGTTTATACAGCTAAAAAGGACAGAGTTTTTTTTTTTCTTTATGTCACATTCTGGTTAATATCAGGTTTTCCCCTGACAAATGTAAAGTGATATTAAGCAAAATTATTGTACTAATATGCAATTTAACTTGTTTAATATCATGTGGTTTGATATAAACCCCTCTAGATCTTAATATCATATGCATTTTCACAATAATAATATCACATGTTCAGCATATATATCACATCAAAAAACAGCATGTTCTGATAACAAGTTTTTGTCAATCTTGATCAGGGTCTATTGGGGTACTTACAGATATGTCTGACTTGTAGTAAGATTTTGAAAGTGCATGTTTTAATGCAAAGACTTTAGAACAGAAATTGGGGAAAATTACTTTTTGGAAGATACCAGAATCTCCAATATTAATTAATCACTTAAGACGTGTTTGTGTAATTATCATTGATCCATTGTTCTCTTTACAGAAGACACTCACTTATTGGTGTTCATAGCCACATTTTTAACAAGTTAGGAACTTATAACAATTGTAGGCAGATTCTGATTTTTCATAAAGACTTTCATTTTTTCAATGAATAATACACACGCAGGTAGACTCCCTGTGATCTAGGAAGAAAAAACATGTCTGTAAAAGTCCCATTTTCAAATAAAAGTTTGAATACAAAGCATTTTTTTGTTGATGTTTAGTTAGAAATTTATTCTTCCCTGCTATATATACATTGTAACCATGTTAACTAAAGTCTTCAATATGACAGACACTGCTCTTATAATAATTCTGTTCTTTAACACCTTAAAAATCATTAAGTGGCAGGTAAAACATTTTCTCTGGAGAGATTCATTTAAGCTGTATTTACAGTATTCATACATTTTTTTTGGTAATCTTTCACAGTTTTAGGGATAATACGGTTATCCCTTAAAAATTTGATCACAAATGAGATCTTTAGCATCTGGTATTGAGTAACTGGCTCTTTTATAAGTAATTGACTCACCCCTGGCGAACTGAATTTATCTACCAAAAACGGTCCTATATGGAAATCAGTTAAACGCAGGAATACATTCAAGCCTGGCCCTGTAAGTATATTACATAAAGTATCTTATTTTAATTACAATAAATCATATTAACTACCAACACACTTACTGAAAATTCATAATTTTTTTACATAACACTTTTGTATATCACGCATGAACTCTAGTGCCTCAGAAAACTTTGAATACGATTTTTGTTGCTATTACCAGGTGCTAAATCAATAACCTTACTTAGAAGAAGTTGACTATATATAGGGTAAATATTACGGTGTCTCTACTGGGCCTTCTAACTGCCCAAACCAGCCCCTTTCCAAATCGACCCTTGTCTACAATAGGGTGTTATTGAGCTCCACACTAAGAAGGCTGTATTTAAGTATCCTATATTAAACATTTCAAAATATTTTGGATTTGGTTATAAAAAAGTTGATGACCCATTTAAAACTAAAGATACTTACTGGATTATAATTTTCACAATTCCAAGGGAAATAACTCTGACACAAATCACATGCAAAATGTATAAGGTAAAATACATATATATTATCAACATCAACAAGTTTATCCTGTATAAAAGCTCTTAACTTATTTCTTAAAGTCACCCAGGCTTTAATATTATAATCAGGTTCTGAATTCAGATTTTCCCTTTTAAGATGTATGGAAGGTTATCTCCTATTCTTTTAAGTACAAAAGTATCCACGTCAAAGTGTCAATAATTCATAAACTGACTAAAATTTGTTTTCAAAATTAATTTTATTTAAGTATTAATCAAGTAGGAAACTTGAATACAGCTTTCTAAGAGTAGAACTCAATATTACTTAGTGCAAGCAGGGATGGTTTGGCCAGTTGGAATCAAATTCCTACAGGGAATGTACCATTGACCCTATAGTGAACCCCTTCTGAGTAAGGTTAATATACTTAGACTTTGTACCTGTTATTTGCATTTAACAGGATGTACTGTTTTGTATATATACATTGTACTGGTTTTATGAATTATACATTACCCCCACGGTAATATTGTTTTGAAGTGCAATATACAATGTTAAGAGATTGTATATGTTATAAATGTTAAAAGACAAATTCTATGTTATATGTAGTTTTACTTTTGCAATCATATTTGTTATTTTGTCTTATAATCAGATTTGTTATTTTGTCTTAAAATCAGATTTGTTATTTTGTCATATAAGGAAAAGAATTGTCTAAAACATAGGCTTGCTGCCAGAAAAAGAAAGCACTAAGATTTCCCATACCTAATAGTAAACCACACTGTCTGATGGCAATCAAGAGGGCAATTATCCCAGTTCTCTCCTGTTCTGTGGTGACACGACCAATTTCTCCCATGATCACAGACCCGCCTCCTGCACCAAAACCTAAAATGCAAGGATGAACAGCTCACTGAAACATATCATATACCAAATACCAAATATCATCAGCCTAGAACATTTGGTTATTCAGGAAAGGTTGGTGAAAGAGCCTTACAGCTCTTCATCTGAACATGCAACTGAAAAAATATCATCACCCTATACAATTTGATTATTCCAAGAAGTCATTTTAAGTTTTGACATATTTGACATCTGTGACCTTGAATGTAAGCCAAGGTCATGTATTTGAACAAATTTGGTAGCCCTTCATCCCAGCATGTAACTTGCCAAACCTAAACACCCTTAGCCTTTTTGTTATCAAGAAGAAGTTGTTTAAAGCTTTTGAAAACAATTTTGACCCCTGTCTTCTTGAATATGGGTGCAGGTCTTTTATTTGAACAAACTCAATGGCAGCCCTTTTTCCCCAGCATGCTAGCTAGAGGCCAACTATCATAATCCTGGCCCTTTTTGTTATTTAGGGAAGTCTTTTGAAGATTTCAACATATTTGACCCATGTGAGTTTGAATTAGGGTGAAGGTTGGTTATTTGAAGAAAAATTGATAGCATGCAGTTTCTTCAAAGCATGTTACCAGCCAAATATCACCCTAGACTATTAGGTTCTTCAGAAGAAGTTGTTTAAAGATTGTAACATATTTCAGTCCTGTGACCTTGAATTAGGATGAAGGTCCATCATTTGAACATTAACATGGTAGCCCTTCATCCAAGTATGTCACCAGCCAAATATCACACTGTACCTTTTGGTTATTCAGAAGTTGTTCGAAGTAAATGGTTGACGCTGGTCGGACCGACAGATGACAGACACTGTGCCAGGACATAAGCATGGGCTGGGTGAGCTAAAAATCTTAAGTTTACCTTCCTTCTGTGTGTCAATCACTGGTATTTTTTTTAAGACATGACAGAAACAACTTACCTACAACCAATCGGCTAGCTAACAAGAACCACTGGCTCAGGCCAATGAAATACATAAAGTTTCCTCCCACTTGCACAATGCCACATAGTATTATGATAATTCTAGGATTCCTTGATTTATCTGCCCACCTACAACACCAATCACAACAGGTTAACGTCAAGTTATACAAGTACACAATTGAATTTCAATTAAACCAGATGTAGTCATATAAAATATTTCAATTTCATCCAATTTAATTTGAAATGTAAGAGTTTTCAATGTAAATATGTTTTAATGAATAAAATGAAGTATCGTCAATAATCAGATGATATTTCAGGAAAATACAGTGTTTGCATGGTCATTACATGTACATGCATTAATAAACAATTTTTTCAATAAGACAAAGTTAGATTTAATTCTGTTTTTTTGTATTAAAACTTTTGGTGATAAATTTACCATACTGCTACATGTAATTAATAATATTCGATATGAAAACGGCTACAAAATTGATGTAAAGAAACTGAATTCATTAACTGGAAAAAAATATCATGCTATGTTATTTACCTTCCAAGCAGTGGGCTGGAAATCATGGCAGCTAGGCTGTAGGCAGACATAATGATCCCCAGCATGTACTCAGGAGAATCAAACCGGTCCTGAATATACAGCCACAGAGTTGGCAGGACCACCGCTGTCAAAAACAAGATGAACCTCAGGGTTTAGGAAAAGCATACTTTCATCATTTATGATTCCAAAAATGGTTCCATTCCCAATATCAAATAACACAAATAAATGTGCTTCAAAACAAAATTGGATTCTACAATCAGAGTGGAACACTTTTAATAACAATTATTGAATATTTAAAACTCTTTATTTTGTCAGACAAAAGAAATCTTAAATGTTTAAATGAAAATTATGACAATTATGATTAGTCTTTTATTAATCATACAATATGTAACATCGATCTATAGTCTAATTACATTACAGGGTTTAACTGGTACGATGTACAGGGTCTTTATAGCCGATACAAAGACACTTACTTCACCTGTCGGAACCTATATATAATTATATATATAAGCATAATCAAAGATTGAGGCTATAGATAGTTTTATATACATTAATTTTAAATGTATACATGTAGCTAGTTATATATAAAATTGCTGGATTTATAAGCTATTTTAACGTATTGCAGTCTTATGTAATTAACAAATATCACTGCTCCTTGTATCTTCATCATGTAATAATGGTAATCTGTAATTAGGTATTTATAATTAGGATAGCATGTTGTTCATCATGTAGTTTAAATCAGACACTCGTCAGATAAGTGAATGTTTGGTGTGTCATAAAATGCTAATGATACACACCTGATTGACCGTCTCATAGAATTTCTTTGCCAAATCGTTCAGTGGAACATTTTTATTACAAAATGTGTAAATTTGATTTTGCATGAGTTTTCAGACATTTATTTTTTTAGTGACTCATTCATGATGTCATGATCACATGCAAGGAACAATCAAGCTGCATGAAATAGCCCAGCTTCCCCAGGATCTACACCAGACTCGAGTTTTTGACAGCTAGACTTTTGGTGCCCAGAAGTGCCAAACATACATCTTCATGTACCTGTTGTCAAATCAGCAGGTGTTGGCATTGGTGACAGATAAATGTGTAACAACGACTATTCATGTGTATGTCAGTTAGTGTCTAACCTTCTGTAAGGAAAATAAGTCATTTAAATTATTATGATGCAATACAAAGGTCTGTTTGGTACACACTTACTTTATTATGTATACTCAATTACAATAACAGCCGATACGATTCATATACATTGTACTAAGTAGATGTGTTTACTATATATGTATTGTTAGGATATACTTTGGTGGTCATGTCAGGCCAGGGATGATGATGCTTTTTATCACGCGTCAACGCCAGTCAAAGTTCACATTGTTTACTTACCATATTCAATGCCTCCCATTAAAAAAAACAGCCCAAGATTGAAATACGAAAGCCGTTTTCTTGTTTTCAGTGTAGACATTCTAAATTGATAAAGAAGCAGACGATGCCACTACACACTAACGTGAGATAGCTTAAATTTACCTGTCGGAAACCAACAGATATTTCTCAACAATAAAATAGAGTTACTCCCCCTTACTTGCATTTGGGTATTGCTAAATTCAGGATTGCGAAACCAAATGTTTTTCCTGTTAAGAGGGAATGATTGATTCAATTTTTTTTAATTAACCTTTCTTTTCATTGTTTGCTTTTGCAAAATGATATTTTTTGTCAACGGTTGTAAAGAAATTATATTTACCTTACAGTACAATGTACTTATATATGTTATTACAGAAAGGTAAGGATTATCTAAATATACTGAACATAAGTTAAATAAAAACTTGTGCCTAGTCTTTCTTGTTTTAATTCACAAATAATATATGTAAAAAACTAAAAAGGCAAACGCTCTGGAGAGAACATTATATATCAGATGTCATGAGGGAACATATCATATCAGATGTCCCTAGAGAACATGACATACAAAATGTATCAGGTGTCCGGAGGGAACATTACATATCAGGTGTCCGGAAAAACATTACACATCAGGTGTCCGGCCGGAGGGAACATTACACATCAGGTGTGCGAAGGGATCATATCAGAGGTCCCTAGAGAACATGACATACAAAATGTATCAGGTGTCCGGAGGGAACATTACATATCAGGTGTCCGGAAAAACATTACACATCAGGGGCCCGGCCGGAGGGAACATTACACATCAGGTGCGCGGAGGGAACATTATATATCATGTGTACATAGGGAACATTACATTCCAGATGTCCGGAGGGAACATTACATATCAGGTGTCCGGAGAAACATTTCACATCAGATGTCCGGCCGGAGGGAACATTACACATCAGGTGTGCGGAGGGAACATTACATACTTGGTTTCCGTAGGGACCATTACATACTTGATGTCCGGAGCGAACATAACACATCAGGTGTCCAGAGGGAACATTACGTATCAGGTTTCCGGATGGAAAATTACATACTAGGTGTCCGGAGGGAACATAACACATCAGGTGTCCGGATGGAACATTACATACTTGGTTTCCGTAGGGAACATTACATACTTGATGTCCGGAGGGAACATAACACATCAGGTGTCCGGAGGGAACATTACTCATCAGGTGTCCGGAGGGAACATTACATATCAGGTGTCCGGAGAAACATTACACATCAGGTGTCCGGAGGGAACATTAGATATCAGGTGATAAGAGGGAACATTAAGTATCAGGTGTCCGAAAGGAACGTTACATATCAGGTCCCCAGGTGAATTATTACAAATCAGGTGTGCGAAGGGAACATTACATATCGGGTGTGCGTAAGGAAAAAAATATATATCATGTCCACATAGGGAACATTACATATCAGATGTGTGGAGGGAACATTACATTCCAGGTGTCCGGAGGAAATATTACATATCAGGTGTCCGGAGGGAAAATTCCATATCAGGTGTGGGGAGAGAACATTACATTCCAGGTGTCCTGAGGGAAAATTACATATCAGGTGTCCGGAGAAACATTATACATCAGGTGTCCGGAGGGAACATTACACATCAGGTGTCCAGAGGGAACATTACGTATCAGGTGTCTGGAGGAATTATTACATATCAGGAGTCCGGAGGGAACATTATATATCAGGTGTCCAGGGGGAACATTACATTCCAGGTGTCCTAAGGAAACATTACACATCAGGTGTCCGGAGGGAACATTACGTATCAGGTGTCTGGAGGAAATATTACATATCCGGAGTCCTGAGGGAACATTACATATCAGGTGTCCGGAGGGAACATAAAGCATCAGGTGTCCGAAGGGAATATTACGTATCAGGTATCCGGAGGGACGTTATATACTAGGTGTCCGGAGGGAACATTACGTCTCAGGTGTCAAGAGGGAACATTACGTATCAGGTGTCCGGAGGGAACATTACATATCAGGTGTCTGAAGGTAACATTACATACCATGTGTCCGGAGGAAACGTTACGCATCAGGTGTCCGGAGGAAACGTTACGTTTCAGGTGTCCGGAGGAAACGTTACGTTTCAGGTGTCCGAAAGGAACGTTACAAAACAGGTACCCGGAGGAAATATTACAAATCAGGTGTCCGGCCGGAGGGAACATTACGCATCGGATGTGCGGAGGGAACATTATATATCATGTGTACATAGGGAACATTACATATCAGGTGTGCGGAGGGAACATTACATTCAAGGTGTCCGGAGGAAATATTACATATCAGGTGTCCGGAGTGAAATCCATATCAGGTGTGCGGAGGGAACATTACACATCAGGTGTCCGGAGGGAACATTACATATCAGGTGTCCGGAGAAACATAACACATCAGGTGTCCGGCCGGAGGGAACATTACACATCAGGTGTGCGAAGGGAACATTACACATCAGGTGTCCGGAGGGAACACTACACATCAGGTGTCCAGAGGAAACATTACGTATCAGGTTTCCGGATGGAACATTACATACTAGGTGTCCGGAGGGAACATTACACATCAGGTGCCCGGAGGGAACACTACACATCAGGTGTCCAGAGGAAACATTACGTATCATGTTTCCGGATGGAACATTACATACTTGGTGTCCGGAGGGAACATAACTCATCAGGTGTCCGGAGGGAACATTACAACTTGTTTTCGTAGGGAACATTACATACTTGGTGTCCGGAGGGAACATAACACATCAGGTGTCCGGAGGGAACACTACACATCAGGTGTCCAGAGGGAGGGAACATTACATATCAGGTGGCCGGAGGGAACATTAAGTATCAGGTGTCCGAAAGGAACGTTACATATCAGGTCTCATGGTGAATTATTACAAATCAGGTGTGCGAAGGGAACATTACATATCGGGTGTGCGGAAGGAAAAAAATATATATCATGTCCACATAGGGAACATTACATATCAGGTGTGCGGAGGGAACATTACATTCCAGGTGTCAAGAGGGAACATTACGTATCAGGTGTCCGGAGGGACGTTATATACTAGGTGTCCGGAGGGAACATAACGTCTCAGGTGTCAAGAGGGAACATTACGTATCAGGTGTCCGGAGGGAACATTACATATCAGGTGTCCGGAGAAACATTACACATCAGGTGTCCGGAGGGAACATTACATATCAGGTTTCCGGATGGAACATTACATACTAGGTGTCCGGAGGGAACATAACACATCAGGTGTCCGGAGGGAACATTACATACTTGGTTTCCGTAGGGAACATTACATACTTGGTGTCCGAAGGGAACATAACACATCAGGTGTCCGAAGGGAACATTACACATCAGGTGTCCGGAGGGAACATTACATATCAGGTGTCCGGAGGGAACATTACATACTTGGTGTCCGAAGGGAACATAACACATCAGGAGTCCGGAGGGAACATTATATATCATGTGTCCATAGGTAATATTACATTCCAGATGTCCGGAGGGAACATTACCTATCAGGTGTCCGGAGAAACATTACACATCAGGTGTCCAGAGGGGGAGGAAATATTACATATCAGGTCTCCGGAGGGAAAATTCCATATCAGGTGTCCGGAGAGAACATTACATTCCAGGTGTCCTGAGGGAAAATTCCATATCAGGTGTCCGGAGAGAACATTACATTCCAGGTGTCCGGAGGAAATATTACATATCAGGTGTCCGGAGGGAAAATTCCATATCAGGTGTGCGGAGAGAACATTACATTCCAGGTGTCCTGAGGGAAAATTACATATCAGGTGTCCGGAGAAACATTACACATCAGGTGTCCGGAGGGAACATTACACATCAGGTGTCCAGAGGGAACATTACGTATCAGGTGTCTGGAGGAATTATTACATATCAGGAGTCCGGAGGGAACATTATATATCAGGTGTCCAGGGGGAACATTACATTCCAGGTGTCCTAAGGGAACATTACACATCAGGTTTCCGGAGGGAACATTACGTATCAGGTGTTTGGAGGAAATATTACATATCAAGAGTCCTGAGAGAACATTACATATCATATGTCCGGAGGGAACATAAAGCATCAGGTGTCCGAAGGGAATATTATAATTACATATCAGATATCCGGAGGGACGTTATATACTAGGTGTCCGGAGGGAACATTACGTATCAGGTGTCCGGAGGGAACATTACACATCAGGTGTGCGGAGGGAACATTACACATCAGGTGCGCGGAGCGAGGGAACATTACACATCAGGTGTCCAGAGGGAACATTACGTATCAGGTTTCCGGATGGAACATTACATAATTATTACAAATCAGGTGTGCGAAGGGAACATTACATATCGGGTGTGCGGAGGGAAAAAAATATATATCATGTGTACAAAGGGAACATTACATTTCAGGGAGGGAACATTACGTATCAGGTGTCCGGAGGGAACTTTACATATCAGGTGTCTGAAGGTAACATTACATACCATGTGTCCGGAGGAAACGTTACGTATCAGGTGTCCGGAGGAAACGTTACGTTTCAGGTGTCCGAAAGGAACGTTACATATCAGGCCTCCAGTTGAATTATTACAAATCAGGTGTGCGAAGGGAACATTACATATCGGGGGTGCGGAAGGAAAAAAATATATATCTTGTGTACAAAGGGAACATTACATATCGGGTGTGCGGAGGGAAAAAAATATATATCATGTGTACAAAGGGAACATTACATATCGGGTGTGCGGAAGGAAAAAAATATATATCTTGTGTACAAAGGGAACATTACATATCGGGTGTGCGGAAGGAAAAAAATATATATCATGTGTACAAAGGGAACATTACATATCAGGTGTGCGGAGGGAACATTACATTCAAGGTGTCCGGAGGAAATATTACATATCAGGTGTCCGGAGGGAAATCCATATATGTGTACAAAGGGAACATTACATATCGGGTGTGCGGAAGGAAAAAAATATATATCTTGTGTACAAAGGGAACATTTATCAGGTGTGTGGAGGGAACATTACATTCCAGGTGTCCGGAGGGAAAATTACATATCAGGTGTCCGGAGAAACATTACACATCAGGTGTCCGGCCGGAGGGAACATTACACATCAGGTGCGCGGAGGGAAC